AAAAAAAAAAAAAAAAAAAAAAAAAAAAAAAAAAAAAAAAAAAAAAAGCATGTGATTCTAAAATATAAATTTTGATTTTGATTTAAATTATACTGACAAGATAATTTAAAAATAAATTTATGTGTTTTTTTTGCTAAAAATTATGATTCTTCGATAAAATTGTTTTTGAATTGTTTAAATATTTTATTTAATGTTGAATATAGTCAAACGATTAAACTTATATTTTTCACAACATATATATGTGTATAGTGAATAAACTAGGAAGAATAAAAATAATTAAGTTCATAGGTAAGGATTGCTTATTATTTAAGTGTAGTTTATTTCCCATGTATTTATTCATATCAATTTAGTCTTAAGAACTCTAATAATATAAATCAGCTCTTTGTAAATTAAAATATATAATGAAGTGTATAACTCATATAGATTAAAATAAAAACGTGTGTAGTTAAAAAATAGTTGAAACAATTGTTTCAACCAATCTTAATTATCTTAATCTACAGTTTAAATGTATGATAAGAAACAGGTGTGGTCGCAAGGGTGAGCTATATGAAAGCTGAATTAAATATTTTCGACAACCCCCCTTTTTTTATTTCTAAATCTGCTCCTCATAAGAGACTAATTATTGAAAATTTAATTTTTACCTGAATAAATTGTCTAACCCTGTAACATACATTGATTAATGCTTCATACTTATTATAAATATTCAATTCTTTATAATACATGATAAAACGCATTTTTCAATTAAAATGTAAATTATTTACATAGACCTATTAACTAAATTTGATTTTTATTTAGTTAATACGTCTAGGATAATTTATCATACACCTATAAAAAAAGAAAAGAAAAAAAATACAGATCTCCATCGATACTACTTTGTATATAAAATAAATATAATTACATTATTAAGTCATCAATTATATCTTATATCAAATTAAATTGATAAAATTCAGATATTATATTTTTCACATTAAAAATTACATTTGTTATTAAAATATCTATGAAATGTAATTAACGTTTGTTACGTAATTTACATTTGTAATTTAAGTAAAACTGATTACAATTCTTATGGATTTTGTAAAACTAATCTTACCCCTACAACTTGATCATCAGCAGCTCGTTGGACGTTCTTGCTTCCACCTAGTACCCACGACATCCATCGGATACTACCATCTCTCGTCGGTTCTTCCTTCATATTGTAAATATAGTTATCAACTCAGTTGATGATAGTATCTATGTAATCTGCTATCAAGTTATGACAATAAATTATAAAGTTTAATTACTACTGATTATACAAATCTCAATGAAACACGTACACGTTATAAAAACTATTTTTTATGTTTTAAATAAAAATATTATAATAAAGATTAATTCAATAGTATGATAGTTACACGTTGTGAGTAAACTATTTTGTAAAATTGTCTCGACTCGCACAATGAACAAAGGTGGTCAACATGAACACGGAGATCAAGAAACGACTGAACTGAAGCGGTACAAAAACACTTTTAGAAAATTGCTCTACCCTCGATATTGCTACAGTCGATTTAATAAGCATTTTTAGGCGTTCCTTGTTTTTCTGAAATTGATTACTCATACTAACACATTCAAACATATTCATACACACGCAAAAATATAGTAAATTACATAAAAATAATATCAATAAACAAACAATAATTATACCTTTTTTAAAGCACATTATATATTATTATATTGACATGATTTTGATAAAAAATAAAGAATACCATGTACATGAGTCTAAAGTATTAATTATAATTTACATAATCATTAATTGATAAAATTATATATTCGCATATCGTGTATGGAATAAGATAGGTAGCCCTAGTTTTTTATATAAATAACCAACTCTGTTATATTAATTACGATTTGTGTACATATAAGAATTATTATTGGAAATCTAAATAGGTAAATATAATTTTATTAACAAATATTATTCTGTACAAAAATGAATTACAAAACAAAATTATTATAATAAACAATATTTATTTCACTTCATGCTAAATTAATTACTTATACTCAAATTATTAATTGTTATTTTTCTGGCATGATTTACAGTGTTGTTTATTTTAATTTTTAGAAATGAAATCTTTAAATATATTAAAAATTAACACAAATCATAAAAAACAGATGTATGTTCTTGAGACTATTTTCAAAAATTAAATAATATTCAAATTTAAAGTATTACAATAATTTACCCAAGTTGTAGGTATACGAGCATAAATGTATATAAATCAAATAAATTGTATGCATTTGTCAAAATTATAGACAAACGGATTCCAATTGAATATACATATATTAATATAGCATAACATAAGATACGAATAAATATGACCCTAAAGACAAATGCAATCTATAGTGTATATATGTAAAGGACCCTATCGAATTTATTTGGAAGTACAATATACTTGGTATAACGTAAAATTGTCTTCGTGATGCAAATTAAATATATATATATACATAATAATATTACAATTTTTTTTTTCCATTTTTATTACCGGTAAATTTCGTAAATCGAATCAATTACATATTTTTAACAAAAAATTTTGTTTTTATTTATTGAACATTATTCAAAATAGATTAAGAAATAAAATATTATAAATGTTGATCAAATGTGAATATTAAACAATTTATTAAAATAAATATATTTTCAGCTGTATTATTTGCATTTTTTGGTGTCAATAAAAATGTTGTTATGTTACGAGTACAATGAAATGTATTAGAATTCGATCGTTTGAACCGTTGAAAAAAATAAATAAAATGTTAAATGTCGAGTACAATTATGATTTTTTTTTTTTTATAATCTGAAATCAAGGGAGTATTGGTACGTATATGCGGGTACACGCCATATACCTGTCTGCAGTTTTTCGATTTTTGGCCTATACCTAATGTAAAATTTTATTAGGTATATCCTATATATAGGTATATGCTCCTAAAATAACTCGTAAAAGAAAAAAATGTATTTAATAGTTCATTGAAAAAAAAAAATCATTATGAACTATGAAATTTGAATGAAATATTTATATTTTAAAAATTGAAATGTACAGTTTTCAATTTAATTACAGTTTAATATATTTTAAGTTCAATTTAGTAAATATTATTTTGAAAAATAAATGTTATTAAATTTAATATGGAATATGGACTTTTTTTTATAAAATATGTTCAAGAAATTTGACCAAGGTTAGGTTTTGTTTGTGATTCTATCTTAGTGTGGTTTCAGAATAGATATAATTTAATCTATTCTGTGGTGTGGTATCAGAATTATGGAAAATTTTGGGGTCTATCCGATTCGGAGTCTATTTTAATCAGTCGACAATAATAAGTTTAACGGAGTGCTTAGCTCCATAAGTATGGCATATGGGTAGTTGTCCTCTCTGGCCCTAAAATTAGATATTTGTGATTCTGGTATGACTAAATCAACGACAAATAATTCTGAGTTGGTTTTAGCCTCCTATATTTTTCACTTTTAGTTTTTTTTTAATTTTATTCGGTTTAATGCTTCGTTTATTCCATATGTTAGTAAGTTTTTTGAGTCGTCATATCTGTTCAATTTAAGGGATTTTAGTAATTTTTATGGCGATTGAGGCTTATTCATCTACTGTTTCGTTGTCTATTATTTCCGAGTCTCCGGGTATCTACATAATAATTATGAGTTTGCTAAATTTGAAGTCTCTGTTGACGTTTTTTTTTAGATAGTTACAATTAGTTGCAATACCACCACGTTTGAATTGATTCTGGGGGAGCTTTACAGTGATTAGAGATCATTTGATTATTTTGAAATTGTATGGTAAGGGGATAAACATCTCATGATATCAACAGTTAATTATCACACACATAATATCAGTTGCCGTTAACATACTCGTAGTTCGAGTATCTCAACATTTTAGCAATATCGAGTACGTTCATGTATGTAATTTACATTTCTACCATTGTTCAACGATGTGGTCCATTAATTATATATATACATTTAATTAATATTTACGATTTAAGAATCATCATTATATTGTTCATTTGATAAATAAATATTTTACGTAATTGATCATGCGTGAAATCCTCCATCAGAGCTATAATTATTAATCAAGGGTCTTAAAAGTATCTAGTGCAGATCTATCTAGCCAGCTACGAGCATATCCTAGGTCTCAGAGATTTCACAAGACAACTCCAACAACGGATATTTTAAAAATATCGAATAGTCAAAGTTCTGAAGCAAATTATGATCTTATGATCTAAATTATATAAAACAATAATGAGTTCCGTAGTAGGTTATCGTGTTAATTAAATCATAATATATTACTAGAAAAATGTATTTAAGTATACATATAACATTTATGTTCTTATATTAAGTAAAAGTTTGATCTTGTCAATATAGATTGTTCCATCTAAATAGCCTTCACCTTGCATTTTTTTATGAAAGTCAATTCGATCGTTCTTTATAAAAGAATATGGAATACTATCGGTCAAAAAATATATGTATTTAATATAAAAATGTCCATGAATACCTGATAGTAATTTTCTTTTTAAAAAAACTCGTATACAACATGAAAGCTTAGTTTATATTTATTTGGAAAAAATCATTAAAGTGTGATACAAATATGCATGCAACAAAATATACAATAAAAGTGACAACTAGTATATTTCTTTAAATTTGCTTTAATATTTTTCTTGTTCAGAGATAGCATGTCATAATTCCAAATTATTGTTTTGGAAAATTTCTCACAAGTCACGTTCAAAATAAGAGACATTTATTACATCGAATGTAAGAGTCCCAATCTACATAGTAAGAAAGAAAATAAATGTATTCATGTAATATAATTGTAGGTGACTGGCGGCTACTATCATTCAACAACGCGTATTGGTCAAAGCATATTTTTTAAAAAAATTAATTATTTGAAGTATCGTATTCAGTAACGTTATTAGTGCTCCTAAAGCACTCAAATAATAACTAATTGGTAAATTATATTTACAATAGGAATTGTAAAATACCAATATAATATCATATTTAATGAAATAAATAAAGTAAAACAAAAAATCCTAACAATCAAAAATAAAAATATTATAGTTTATAATTAATGATGGAGTTAGGTATACAAAAAAATTAATATTCCAACCTATTGCACAAATTGCACAATATTTCTTTTATTAAATTTAGTCAATTCTTCCTCAAAGTTTTTGGTTTCTCTTATTTAATTTTTGGATTCAAAGCTCAAAAAATAAATTTATTTAGTAAAAGGAAAAAAAAATGAAAACTTATGTTTTTAATATAACATATTATAGCATATTATGTTGTTTACTTGTTTGTCGCTAGTATATATAGATATATGTATATTTATTTATTTATTGTGTTTAATGTTAATACTATGGATATATTCAAGTCTGGGCATTAACGAGTTTATAAGTTTAAAGCCAAGTTAAAAGTTAAGGTAATTTAACCTATTAACTTATCTCCTTACAAATTAACTTAAATTTAACGTATTATTTTTTCATTTATCTCAATTAAATTAATTTTAATTCTCAAGACCAGAAAAATATTTTTGTAAAATACCACATTCTATAACAACTTCAGAGACCATAATATTAAATATTATGGTTTCTGAACTTGTAAAAAGATAAATTAAATTAAAGATAATAAAATTATTAAATAATTAATTATTATTTATTTTATATTTATTATTATTTATTATTAAAGATAACTTGTAAGATAAATTTTATCTCGGTATGAACTATTAATTGGGGCCCCACCTACCGGTCCCGGGAAAAGTACTAAACTGTCTTCAGACGTTTGAGTAAAAATTGCCATGCCACCCATGAATTATGTTACCATTGTTATGAAAAATGGTCGTAAATCTATATTACAAAAATAAGTACATATAATCATTAACTAAATAATTCTTAATAATTATTGTACTCTATTATTGTTAGAACTATTCCATAATCTATGATATTATTAAATATTATTGAAAAAGAGAAGAAATTCAATAGCTGATCAACATTTTGAGATGACTCTTTTATTGAAATTCAATAGGTATATTTTGATTAACCTGTTCATTGTATCGTTTTATTTGTTTAGATTTTAATAAAATTAAATAACATATATTAATTTTAATGTTTTATATCAACTTTATACGAGTACATTTATTTTGTGTATAATTTTATAGTTGCGCTTTCAGCTGCAGTAATTATTTTTAGTTTTCATACTGTTATTGAACATTAAAAATAATACTTTTTTCAAATTATATTTATCATATGTGATTTGTATGAAAAATGAATAAGACACACGATACATAAATTACTAGAAATTTGACATTTGAGTGCTCAAAAAAAAATCACAATAAAGAAATATATATTATTATTTTCTAATAATAGTTTAATAAGATTTTTCTGCGTTTTTATTATCGTTAATGTAAAATAAGATCTGTTGTAAATTTTTAATATATATCACTTATATCAACGCTTAATTTAAATATTTTTATTTATTTTTTTTTGGAATTAACTTAACTTATTAATTTAAATCATTAACTTAATTGAACATGAAATCAATTAACTTAACTGAGTTAAAAAATATCATTAACTTCCCCAGCCATGGATATATTACAAATAATTATAATACACACTAATTTAAATAACCACCTGTAATTAAATTATTTTGTGTAATGCTAAATATTATGTAAACATTTAATACATATTCACTACACTACTTACATGATGTATATTTCAGTTCCTTTGTAAAATATTTACTTATAACCTAAAAATATTTTTGAAATTCCTGAAAAATATGGATAAAATATGCACTGCTATTATAGTCTGTGATTTATGTTACCAGTGTTGGGACTTATCTAGATAATTTTATCTAGATAATTGTCTGTATTCTTGCCAAGATTAGAGTTATTTTTATTCTTGTACGGAGATGAATCCAAAAAATCAGAGATCATCAAAATCGGTCCAGCCGTTTTTGAATTATAAATTCTGTAAATAACCTGACTTTCTTTTATACATATAGATTTTTTATTCATAATCATAATTCGTGTATTATATTATTAAGTAATTATTATTTCTTGATATGTCATTTTATTTGTATTTTCATGTTGGGAAAATATTTTTAGTATTTTTAAACTTAATTTCTTATTTTTCCATGGAAGTTTCAAATATAGTAGGTATTTGATTTTAGTATACACACGTAACTCATACGCTGAATAGTTATTACTTCACTCTTGGAACCCGTAAAGTCGTAACGACTTGTAAAATAATGAAAATTATCAAATTAATATTATATGGACAACAATATTGTTAACTTAAAATATTTTTTTATGTATTCTGTATTCATCCTGATACGTACAAAGCAATTTTCATTTTTTTTTTATTCTGTTAACATTTTAGTGATTAACTGTCATTAAATATTGTACAATATTTATAAATACTGCTTAATGGTACACTACATTACTACAATAAACATTAAACACCTAGGTACCTATTGATAATAATGATCATAATCAGGGATGTATTTAAGGGGTGGGTCTATATAAAATCTGTATATTTAATATCTATAATATGATACACATTATTTTCATTTTATAAAATGGAAGATTTAAAGATTTTATTCATAATAATTTTATTTCATAGTTTTAAACATTTTAATATAACTTTAAAATTATTTAAAACTCAAAATTTATGTTTAATTTAAGAATACTAAAAGTTATAAAATTAATTTAATATTATTTTTTGAGATTAAGCATATTTATTTGCCAAGGTACGGCTCCGTCTCCCATAAACCAATCAGCCAAATTAAAATTGAAGCATTTTTTGTATAATTATTACTCTCACTAGCATTAGTCAAATCTGGTAATCCCAGTCCTCGAATTTCTTTTCGCCATGTTCCATCAATTATAACTCCATTTTCATGGTCTTCTTCGTCAACATAACTTCGGTAAAAATATGACTGAGAATTCATTCTTAACCAGTTGTGTAAAACACACGTTGTCTTTACAATAACATCTGCCTTTTCAGGAGACAATGCAATTAGTTTTTCAAATATTCTAATTCTTGAAACAAGAATACCAAATGCATTTTCAACGATGCGTCTATCACGTGATAGTCTGTTATTGAACACTCTTTCTTTTATTGTCAATGGACCTTGACGAGAATAGGGCTTCAATAGATACTCCTTAAGTGAGAATCTGTGCGTTATCTGCTATAAAAATTATATTAGGTGGCATATTTAATAAATTATTTTCTATGGCATTCTTAAAACTAGATTTTGCAAAAACACCCCCATCAGATGCCCTTCCATTAGATCCAACATCTATATATTTAAAATAATATTGTTCATCAACAAGTGCAAACAAAATAATGTTAAATGAGCCTTTATAATTATAAAAGTTCGAACGGTGCTCTTAAAACTACATGTTTGCCATCCAGGGCTCCATCACAACCAGGAAAATTCCATCTAATTGAAAATCCTTTTTTTATATCATTCAATTCTTTTTGGGTATTTGGAACCTACAAAAAATGTAATTTTAAAATAGTAATATAATATAATATTCATTAATATTATGAATATTTTATTTAGATAATTATTATTATTATTATTATTATTATTTTATTATTAACTAATTATTATTATTTAGTAAATATTAATTTTTAATTTTCTTTATTCGGGGACAAAGTAATTTTTTGAATGAAACTATGAATGATGATGATTTTACAGGAAAAACGGAGTTCGGAAATGAGTTGAATAATATGAACGAAACTATCAATTTTTCTTCTCCAGTTATACTCAAAATAACAAGCGATTAGCTTCTAAATTAAAAATTGCACTAAAAAAATTGAAAATTGTTAATAAATCTTATATGAACAGCACAAAATGTGCTGTACAAGATCTTTGAGAAATATCGAGCAAGTTGGACGAAAAACCAGAGGAAAATGAATTTGACTTTTTCGGATAAACATCGCATGTATTTTGAAAAAACTACCAGAAACATTGGCTGTAGAATCGATGGCACATATTCAATCAAATTTGGCTCAATAACGTTTAAAAGGCACAGTTAATCAAAATTATCGATTATCTGCTATTAATGAAAATATAACATTTTCACCATCTTCATCACATTACAACAGCTAATCTAGTCCATCATATACTACGGGTTCACCAATCAATACTTTTGAATATTCAAGTAATGAAAATTCTCAAAATACTCGGATATATACGGATATTTTAGCGAAGGCAGTTACAAACATTTTACAAGAAGATATATATGTAAAATGAATAAAATAATTTTATATTCTTATTATAAAATAATATTAACTGTTATCACATTATTTTTAAAAGTTTATATTTATAAAATTAAGATACCTATTGTGTTAATTTAAAAGGTTTTTATAAATTTTGTATTTTATTGAAAAGTAAAGTAAAAATAAATTGTGTTAATGATTATGTAATTACTTACTTTTATGTAATTTTTTAGCAACTATATATTAATCACACTTCAGGTAAAAATTTTAAAATGGTACATTTTGGTACTATGTATAAGTATTGCAAAGAAACAAATGAGTCTCCAGATGTCAAATATCTTAATGTGATTTGGAGTTTTAATCTTGCTGGTAATGCATCTCTCATTATAGTATTTAGTTTTTCTATTTGTGTGGTTAATCAAGATTCCACAGTAATAATGGGCTATCTCTTTTACCTAAACTGATAACATTTGAATATCTAAATATATAATTCACAACACAATACCAATGATTAAAAAATGTTTGAATATTATAAATTTGAGGTTTTGAGTTTATTAATAATAATTACAATAATGATATAATGAAAAAAAGAGAATGCGTATAAAAAATATTATGCTGCCCAATTGGCACAAGAATAATTAAATGAATATAAATATAAATAAATAAATAAATACAATGAATAATAATAATATAGATATGATATAATTTCAGATTGGCCTTAAAGCGGCACAATCAAAATATATAATAATTAAATAATATTTGGCCCATACGGCACACAATAATAAATAAATAATTTAATACGTATAATAATAATATATGAATTGCCCACGGCAATATGGGTAAATATGCAATAAAAAATAACAGCCGTTGGTGGCTAGGATCGTCGGCCTTTACATAATGATGAACACAAATATGGTCGACTAATTCTCACATGTGACTGTGATTGATGGCGGATTTTATCCCAACGCGACCGCACCAGCACTGTGACTTTAAAAAATGCCTACGATGGCACACCGCAGTGTATGAATAAGAAATGAGTCACAACGACTGGTACGTGCGACCAGCAGAACACAGTCACTAACGAAAAAAACTGCAATGGTTCACAGCCCTGGACGATGACACAACGAATGAAAACCACGTTATTCACAAAGCGACCGCTGGTAAAACTGATAAAAACAATGAAATTAATCGCTGGACAATATCTAATTGCCTCGAACGGTACTTTACCAAACGGTAGATTCACAAAACGAAAATGACACTATTCAACAACGTGGTTTGAACAAAATGGCTGCGGACGTACGAAAACTTGACAAAATGAAATTTGATGTGCACACCACGAAAACACGAAGACGAGAGCGAAACGGTGCCGACGACATTCACCACGAAGGCTCTGGTCGCCGGACACCACAAAGAAGATAAAATGCCTCAGTGCCACCACACAAAACTGAAAAACACGTGAAATTAATGAACTTTGTGGCACTGAGGTATGACTTTAACTTTTACAAAAACAAACGGAAAACTCTGAAAACGTGGAATAACGAACATTTACGCGTGATGCCTAACCAATACGATTACGTACCGTGCCGATCGGGCACGGAGGCTTATCAACGCCGCTCCGGCGATGGCTGCGGATACGCAACGCACGCTACGCATCACACGAAAATTATAACATAAATTACACAAATGCTGTTTGCAGCGCAAACACTATTGATGGTATAATATACCGCAGTAGGGTTTCAAAAAATTCTAATGACATTCTTAAATGGTTTTTGAAAGAATTTGGATCTTCTGATGCAAGTTCTTTTAAAAGGATATCGGATGCTCCAAAATATCTTCTAGCAATCCACTTCCTTACCCAGACCAACCTTTTCTTTTTTTTACTTTTTTTTCTGAATCTTGATATCTTCAATTAATAATTTTAATACTATTTTACTAGCATGACGAAAATGTAATTCCTTTCCAGTCGACATTTTAATTAATTTAAAATATTATTATAAGTATAATTAATTTAAAAATTTAAATAATAATCGAAACACATAACTACACAGTCGTACAAATGTACAACGGACGTAATGAAATGGCGAGGGTTTAATGCGAAACTGCGTAAACAGTAACTGGCGATGTCATGTTTACTGGCGTATATGATGGCGCCACAACAAACATGCACTTGTAAGCCCAGCATTATGTCATGATTTCATTATACTATTAAGCTCGATTCACACTAGCGGTCTCGGTTCGGTCCGATCACGGTCAAGGATTATGATGCACAGTTCTCACTACCGGTCACAATCAGTCAAGTTCTATCTATACGTTGCAACAAAGTGTACAAAAGTGTTCAAAAAACAATCAAAACAATAGATATCACCGAGATTAACGCGGCGGTTGACTCTTCACACTAGACGGTCTCTATCAAAAAGCTTGTGACCGCGGCAGTCAGAATCGTGCATCGACCGGTCGAAACTTGATCGTGACTTAACCGTTGATCTATAGTGTGTACGATTCCGTTGGATTACGTAATATCGATGTTGACTTGACCGTGATCGGACAGTGACCGGACCGAACCGAGATCGCTAGTGTGAATCGAACTTTATAGTTAAATTTAATTTTCCAACTATTTTAAAATATTTTTCCCCAATTAATGGCCGTCGAGTATTGCTTATATATATATATATATGATATTCACAACAGATAAGCAATACTCGACGGCCATTAATATTTATATATATATATATAGGTATAACTATACATTATAAATACCGTCATAAACGTCGTCCTGGCGCGCTGATTCCTATTAAGAAATAGTTGGTGGAATAGAGGCTTATGTCCGTTTAGTATTTATGATATTTTAATACTGTCGTTTTAATATCTGCTCATCCAGGTTTTGGGGTACTGTATTATATACAATATAACCAAAAAGTTCTGTGGCAATGTATCAATCTTAGTGTCATCTTAGAAAATTATTATATTTAATTTCGATTTTTTACCGTTATAAGTAAGAAAATTATAACAATACAATTTTTTTATGCAATTTAGTTTTTTGATTATCATTGTCTTGATCATAATATGTTTTAAACTTTAAAGCAGTTTGAAAAAATAAATGTTGAAATTGAGTGAAATCGACCTAATTAAAGCATATGAAGTTTTTGATTTAATAATAATAAAAGTTATATTATCAACTTGACGCCCCAGGCATGTACCTACCCGTGCCCCCGCCTAAATACGGGCCTGCGTGTGTGTCTATGACTATCTATTAGGTCTAATTTGTTCGTCGGATTTCTCCGTCAATCTATTTTCCAACTTCTCGTATAGATAAACAATAACAATGTGAATTTTTTACAAATTTTATACTAAAATTATATTCTTTTGCAAATAAAATATAATACATAGACACTTTAATATTCACTTACTACGGGCTGTGCATTAATACTTTACCTATATTTTTTAATAATTTAATTAATAGGGATAATTTTGAAGTTAGAGAAGATAAGATATGACCAGTTTCTAAATTCGTCGCAAGAAGTGCATTTGTATTACCATTGATTATGGATATTATACTATCCATAATCAATGGTATTACATATCGGATAATCATTTATCTCTAATAGCCCGTTAGTAGTGACATAGTAACCAAATATAACTTCAAAATGTGCTCTCATATATTTTTAATTTAAAATCATATTATAATCAGTGGTTGAATTGGAAAAAAAAATAAAGGTGGACTCTAAATGTAGCTGAACAATTAGCGTTCCAAAGCAAATTAATCTAAAAAAAACCATGGGGAGCTCTGTCCCCCCACCCCCCAAATGCATCTACAATATAAATAATTAAATATATCTAATGATTAACACAGATATCTATAACAAATAATAAACAATACTAATAGGTATTTATTTGTATTAATTCTATCAACACAGCAACACGTCTAGCAAATTTAAAATCTAAAATGTAAATATATAGCCACATGATAAAATTAATTAATCAATTAACTTTCAATTTAAAATAATTCATGTATTTTACTGTTGCCTACAAAATGTAAATATTAAATTTATAGATTATAAATGTTACTCTTTTATTAGTATATTAATTTTTTTTTGTCAATATTAATTTTAATATTTGAAGTTTAATATTAGTCAAATAATTTATTTCATCCCGTCACATTATTTTTAGGACTAAGATTTGCTGAGAGTTAAATAATAATTATTTTTATCATAGGTATGTATATGTATTGCTTTAAAATGTATGACCAAAAAAAATTTAAGGAACTTTTAACTGTATTTATTAACTTTTTTTTTAGGTAGGTACTAGGTACTTAAGTAAAAAGGGCTAATAACTTTTTTTGGAAAATCAAGTTTTTTTTATCAATTTTATCAAATTACAAAAAAATAAAAATTGCCGGGACTGACGTTCATTGATAATCAGATTGTACATCAGTTTTTCTAATAAATTTTATTTCTACTTACTTATGTTTTGTATATCTTTTTTTTTTTTTAAGGCGGGATTTATGAAGGTGGATTATCAAAAAAAATAAAAGTACACCGGTAACAGGAATCTGCGCACGCCTATAATTTATTATTAAATTAAAGTGTTTTAATTACCTTGGTCATTGTTTTTCTTTTTATTGAAAAAGTCCGATATGGACAATTTTTGACGTTTATTCATGTTTATTTGTTTATTGCTGACGTGACGTGTAGGACTGTAGGAGTGCGGTTGAGGTGTTTACTATTTTCAACAAAATTACAATTTATAAATTACATACGCGAGTACGCGACAAGCTAACATAATACTGATTACTCATTCGTGGCGCACCTCGTTTCCAAATAAAATATAAATAATATTTAATTTTCCTTGAAAACGATCACCATTTGTTAATCGTCGATAACTAAAACAAGGACGGATTCTCAAAATACGGAGTCAATATATTATTATTGTCAGTGGTTTACTATGGATCGTTATCGTCGGTACACCCAGGGAAGTTTTCGTAATAGTTATATTTTTAGCAATTTAGCAGTTTATACCACGAATTAATACGCAGTGGAAACACTTGAAACGTGTTACATAAATTATATAACATTATTATATATTTTATTATTGCGTTCCTAATATACATATGTGCTAATAATAATGAACAGATTACGAACTAATACCAAAAATTAAATAAAATATTAATCGTTTCCAATTTTTTTTCATATTTATTTAATTTTTCTAAGAAACAAATTCATATTCATATAATTGTTGAAGGACGCTGCGTCCCCTGCGTTCCTTGATGAATTAAATTAAGGGGTACGCTATAATATGAAGAAAAATGAAGAGTAGCTCAGACCCTCTGTGACCCCCCCCCCCAATTCAACCACTGTTTATAATTATTACATTTTTAATTTTTATTTAAAAGCTTTCAATAAGAACAAAATATGATATTATTTTCAACAATTGCTTCAAGTAATATAAAGAGCGTAAAAATGTTTATAAACAAAATATTTGACTGTTATAATTCTAGAAATAAAATGCAAATTTTTCATTTTTGTGCTTCTTTAGGAATTGTGCCCTAGGTGTAGGTACCTTTCACCCTCCCTCCTCCGTTATATTCTTGCTTGTTTGGCCACCACAAATACATTTTCATAATTATTGAGATGACAATATTTATCATAGTATAATATTTTATCAGTAAAATATACGTACAAACGAGTCACGGCAAACATTATTCAGTAAACAAATTTGTTCATCAATCATACCTAACTAAATAATTAATAGGGGGAAACCTATAATTAATAATTTTCAGGATTACAGTTTCTCGTGGCATTTTACAAAACATCACTATGAGTATAAATTTATGTAGAAGATGTGTGCCAAATTGTAGAAATATGTATTTGCACCTTTGAAATTAATTAAGATTTTTTTTTATTTTCAATAAAGAATCTTAAAGTTACATATTTTCAAGTATTTAAAATTTAATTTGTACGAAGACTTACGTATGTTATTATTTTTTCTAGATGAGAACGTTCAATAAACAATAAGAAACCTAATAAATTCACATTTAGATAGTACTACACACACACACACACACACACACACACACACACACTTCATATGCTATGAACGAATTAATTTATACTCCCAAAATGACTCAAGTAATAAAAATAAAAATACAGAAAATCTGAATTACATAATATAGAAAATTATAAAAAATACTATTTATTAATATTACAATGTAAATCCCACTGATAAAAAAAAATATTAAATAAGCTAACTAAAGAAGTTCAAACTGCTCTGCAACTTCGTGTTAATTCTTATGAAAATGTTTGTTAAATATTTTTCAAAATGACTATCTTATAGAAGGTTACTAATAGATTACTTAATCAAGAAACAAACATTATTCCCCATTTCGTACCCCATCATGGCTTGTCATATTTGACGCAGAAAAATATAGTTTTTCCAGAAAACCTACGTAACACTATGTTACTCCCGACGGAGAAAAAATTATTATCAAAAGACTACCTGCTAAAAATCTCCGGATTACAATTGTATCACTAATCTTATGCTTAAAAAAACTACCTTGTAAAACAATTCTTTATATTACTTCTATTTTCAATATTCTACTTCATCTTGGTTGTTTTCCACATAACTGGAAAAAAGCAATTGTAATTCTCAATAAAAACCGAAAATGTACAGACCGATTAGTCTGTTAACATTTATATCAAAAATGTTTGAAAAAATTATACACTCTAGAAGTTTACCTATTATTATTAATTATATATAATTATATAATTATATTATTATATAATTATTATCACCTAGACTGCACAAAAATAATTCCAACCAGGGGCGTACCCAAGAGGGGGAGGGATTCGGCTCCGGACTCCTCCTTATTGAAATTTTTACTTTCTCAATGGTTTAATAGTAAATAGTATAAAATGTATTTTTATTTCCCATTATCTTCAATATACAAAGTTTATAGATTATATAATATACCTATAATGTATGAACCATGTTTAATTTATACTGCTTTTTTAATATTGTTTATTATTGTTAGTGAAATAATGTATTTTTTTATAACATTTTACAACCAAACAAAAATTTATTTCAAATTATAGTATCTACCTATTGTAGTAAACCATTGTGCAGAATATGTGTGATGTGATAACTATTGTGACTATTACTATAGTTATTAACAGTAGTTTTTTGGTATTGATAAAATAAAAATGTTGGACCCCCCTAAAAAATTCCTGAGTACGCCCCTGATTCCAATATTTCAATTTGGTTTTAGAACCACTCTACCACTTCTACGCTTAATCGAACACATAAGCAACTCTTTCGAAAAACATTGTCACATAGGTGCTTTTTTATTGATATATTAATTATATTAATTAAGATAGATTTACAAATCTGACATACCTCAAATGCCACGTACTAACATAGCTCTTTCTGCCGATGATGCAACGATACACATGTATGTTGAGTATCTATATGAACAAAGAACTTCCGTAATTTTGGTATGGATTTTTAATTACCTATACTTCCCTGGCGTATATTAATCAAAATTGATCTTAGGCTATCGCATCTGACAATTATAATAATCATTGATACTATTGATTATTTTTGATATAATATGGTATTAATTTTTATTTTTTATAGCAGTCAATACTAGGGACATCAAAAAGAATGGGAGCATAGATATTTTAATGAATAGATTAACACGACCGGCGAAATATGATAATACATCAACATAAAGTATTTTTATGAACACTATTCATTTTCATTTTACGTTTGTTACCGACCACAACGAATCATTTTTATTTTTTAATAACAGTTATATAATTTTGATTGAAATCATCGTATTACTTATACCTTTTTCAATTGTGAACAAAAGTGAGAAATATTTAATACATAAGTAAGTAATCGTCATTCGACCAGTGGTTATTTTTTCTTAATTAAAATTTTTCTAACTCATTGAAGTGACAAATAAACGAATATTATATTTTATGTATATATGTTTTCGTATCATTGTTTCTAAAAATGTAATTGTCCACAATACTATCTACCTAATAGAGTTGTGAGTTTAAAAAAACCTACCTATTTAATTTTTAAACTTTTTTTTTAATTTGTTATTTCTATTTGTATTTGTTATCCAAAGAACAATAAGAATAATTTATAATAAGACAATTTAGTTGACAAATACCTATCAGGGGCGTATTTATGAGGGGGTGAGGGGGACCAGGACCCCACCGAAATAAAAAACAACATCGTTAAAGATTGTTATTTTTAGCATGGATATATCTTAATGCTGGGGGTTCCGAAAATTTTTCGTGACACTGAGAAAGTTGCTTATGCGATAATTTAAAATTTTATATTTATAAAATATGTTTATTCTTTTAAAAAAATATGTGGTGAATTTTGAGTGACTCTAATAAAAAATTTGCTTATTACAATGTAGTTTTTATACTTTTAAAAAATAATAAATCATTAAAAAAATTGAGTTTCTTATTTCTGTGATGGTGTAAAGACAGTCGAGAAGTCTTATAGTGTTAAAGTAATTTTTTTCGTAATAGTGTGCTTCCTCCTTCCCTTCTACCCAAAAATCAAATACATAATTAGCCCCCTCCGAAAAAACTTATATACGCTACTAATTCCTATAACATATAGTAGAATCCTTCCACTAGAGGCACTATGACGTAATTTTATTTGATTGGTAAAGCAGGCGGGTCATAAACTTACAAATCACGACACCAATGCTTTATAGTATTTTTATTGGGTTGCCGGTATAGAATGATGTTCAGAGATTAGAGCATTTTTGTAGTGGATAAAATAACTCAAATTATTTTTAATATGTTTTGGATAATTCAATAATATATGGAATTTAGAGCAGAACTGTAACAATGATTAAATTTAAATATAGGTCCATTTTAATTTCGTGAAAGGAATTAAAAATAATAACTGTCGATATTGAATAGATTAATTAAAAAATTATCGATGGCATTAAGATATATAACGAAAAGTATAATTTTTCGATTTCTTAACAATAAAAACGTTACTTGGAGGTTACTAAGTTGGTGCAGAGTGTAATATACAATGAACCATAGAATCATAGAATATAATTCTTTGACAAAACTCGAATGTATACCAATATATGATAATACCTATTATAATAATTTCATATATATTCTCATATTATTGGGATTATTACTACAATAATAATATGATCAAGTTTACATAAATATATAATTTATAATTATTATAATTCCGAATTATTATCTATATCTGTGATAATATTTACACATTGATAAAAACATAGAGTAATACCATATACCAAGTATCATATCAATAGATAAAAAAACACGTCGCACATAGTTTATTCAAAGAAGTAACGAACGAAAATCTATAATTTTATTTCTAGTTCACACCTACAATCGTACTGTTAAATATTAACATCTCCCGATCTTCAACCATGTAAAATGTTGTTATTGTTTTTCGATATCTTTGTCGAGGTTATATGGTTTTATAGCTAAATCCAACGGTTTCACAAAAAAAAAAATCATCTTATCACCCTTATCAGCTTTACAATTTTTAGTAATAAATTAAACACTATAATATTAATACCAGTTTTAATTTTTTCAAATTCACATTGTTACAAACACATTGTTTTGCTGCAGTGAATTGTTATTGTTATTTTATTTTTCAATAAGGTTCTACATATATCTGTAGAATGTTAAAGTATAGTTTAAATTGTTCGACTTAACCAATTGTCCTTGATCATTAGTGGTTGCTTTTTGGCTTAGTAACATGTAAGTATTATCCTTGGTTGCCAACTGCCGTATAAATCTTATTTATTAGTTCAAAGTATCAAAAATACAGAATATAATATATGCTAATTATTGTTCTACTTACTAATATTTTCAATGTTTATTTGATATAACCTATTCGATTTTCTATAAATTAAGTTATGGACAAATAGGAGGTTTATTTTTCGATTTATTTTAACTTGTATTATTATTATTTTTTTTTTGCTTTCATTAAAACACTATAAAAAAGCAATCAAATAAACCAAAATAGTACTAATAAATTAACTCTTATTATTATTTTAATTATTTATTGACATAATTAAAACACAAAACTGAGTGTGTTAAAATGAAGCGTTAAATAATAACTGATAACAAATATATCTTTTAATATTACTTAATAATGTTAATATGATTTTTATTTTAAATTCATATTCTATTTATAAAATGTTTCAAGTTTACTAGTAAATATATAATTACTGTGATCATTTTAAACAATTAATGTAATTCTCATTTAGTACCAAATAATTTAATATTATTTTTAAAACTAAAATTTTTACATGGATTATATAAAACAAAAAGTTATAGCTTATAATTAAAAAACATAATAACCTATCAAAGCATTTTTTATATTTTATTTAATTTCTTCTATAAAGTGTATAAATGTATATAATAGTATAATATCTACTAAAAAATTTTTGGAAAAAATCTTTAGATTTAATTATTTTAAATTTGCAACTGATATAATTAATGTATTAATTGGATAAAATTAAATTATTGGAGATTGGAGGATGCAATGGACCGGAATTAATGGAGAAGTTTGGTTGAAGTATGCAAAATCCTTGATGGCCTATATAGCACTAAAAAAAATATATATATATATAATATTCAACTATTCAAGCTAGAAAATTTATCAATTATCATATGTTTATGTCCTGAGTATATTAAGTAAAAACTTTATATACCATACTTAAATTGTTTTGGTTCTAATATTAAATAATTCTTAAGATTTATAGTTTTAAATTATAATGGCCTAAGATTTCAATAAGATAAAAATTAACAAATTTGTAACGGTTATTTCTTGAAAAAAAAGTACAGCCACCTTTTCTATTTTAGTGTTATTCTATTCTAGATTTTTTTTTTTTTTTGTTAATGGTCACTCCACATATTTATTTTCTAATTGATATTAATAATAAATTGTTTTAAACCATGTATAAATTAAAATATTCTTTAACATTTTACAAGAAATAAGTTAATTTTAACAGGTGTTTACAATGGACAAAAGTCAGAATATGGGATCAGTGTTGGGAAGACCCGAAATTAGTGTACCAGGATATACTATTGAAATGGGAAATACCACTTATGGAACATCTTTGGAGGAACGTATACAAGCGGCTAGAGCAGCTTCTTCAAGTTCTAATCAGATGCTTCAGAAAATTAATAAAGCAAAATCAACTTTGATGAATAATAGAAATATTGAAAAGGATACAAATTTTCATAATATTGATACTAAAAATATATCATTTAGTGCTCATGAATTAAAGAAAAAAAATAGACAGCAATGGCCATCTTCATCTAAAACAGATTCTAAATTAACTAATGTTTCTTCATTTAACTCAACCACGGTTAAAAATGGAAATATTAATCCTCAAACTAATTATAATATAAGTTGTTTATCAAAACCAATACATAAAGGAGGGGGTTTGATGCAACGTCGATTAGAATCTATTAAAGCTAATAAAAAATTATCCAACATTATTTCACTAGATTATGATAAAAATTTGGGATCAACAAAATATTCCAATAACTTTTCACAAAGTTCAAATCGTCAAGATAATTTTACAAAAAGTCATGCACCTAGTCAGTTTGATATTAATGTTTCAACGCAAAATGAGTGTAAAACAAAATTAACAATTCAAAAAAAAAATTCTATTGACATGAAAAATAATAGTTGTATATATAACAATACGAATAAATTTAGTAAGTTACAATAATATTATATTCCTTAATCTAAAATTGTTCAATTCTAATTGGTATTTACAACTCTTCTCTCATTTAATATTAAACATTTTTAATAGAACAATACAGATACTGATATTCCTAATCATTCAAATTATTTTACATTTTATCTAATTTATTTTAAATATTCTTCTAAGATAAAATTTGATATATGTGATAACTAAATCTTGTTAAATATTTTCTTACCATTCCTTAAATATCCTGTACACGCCCAGAATAATTGTTTACAATTGATTTATAGTTTTCCCAGCATAAATGTGGCCTTCCTAGTGATCTCTTATCGACCTGGTTCTCTTCAATGGTTGTTACGACTATAGACCCTGCTGTTTGTCATTCATGTCCTGCCCGCTTCAAACTCCTTTTTTTATTTAATTTTCGATATTCGATCTTTGGAACAATTCTACAAATTCTTTATTATGTCGTATATACCATTCTCTCATGTGGGTGTTCATGTCTGGGCCATAGATTTTTCATAGAATTTTCGTTTCAAATACTTATAGTTTAGTTTCTTTTGCTATTCTGAGGCATATAGTACTATATCATAATATACTATAAATCATATCAGGGCCATGTACTTCTATATCTTTAGGTTTGTTGATATGGTCTTAAACTCAGCATTTTTCCAGAATCAAAAAAACTTTATTGTCTTTTTGTATCCTAGCACTAATTTCAATTTTCAAAAAATTATCTTATGTTAGTAGGTGCTCCAAGTATTTAAAATGCGTTACTCTCAAAAATATATGCCCCACAAACATTCATACTTAGTCCTCGTTAATATGCCTTGCCTTGACAACTTATATCATTTACTTATTTCATCGATTATATTCAGTCCTACATTCTTTGCTATCGTAATGAGTTTTTCCTCACACTCATTTTACCAATTCTTCAGTGTCTTCCAATATCACATATCATCTATATAACTTATAGTGACATTGGAAGACATAATTATCATATATTATCATCTACATAAATTAATTTATATATTTATATATATGTTCAAGTTTCCCAATACTATTCTGTTATTACTGTTTAATCTCTTTAGTATTTGCTGTAACTGGGTCTAATATTTCTGATACTACCTTAGTTTTCATTTTTTTTAAAATGGCCTCAATTAATTATACTAATTTTTTTTGGGGGAAATTGAATTCTTTAACATGTTAAAAAGACTAAATTGATGCCAGAATCGTAGGCTCTTTTGAAATCCACAAATAGTATTATTGATTATAAATAGTATTTAGTACTATTTATAATCAATGATAATACATATACTCTTATTGAATTCCCATTGTTGACCTATTGGGTCTGAAACCACTTTGATAATTTCCCAGAATCTCTGACTATTGACTTAATCCTATCTAATATGTAATAAAACAATACTTTGTAGACCACATTCAGCAAAGCTATAATTATCACAGATTTGAGAATCGTATTTCTTATGGATTGGGCATATTACTGCAACATTCCAACTTTCTGGTAATCCCTATTTTTCCCAAATATGGGTTATTAAACTATATAAATCCGTTAATGAGTCCTCGTTTAGCATTTTCATAATTTCATCTTGTACATTGTCCTCTCCTGGTAACTTATGGTTCTTCTGTCTCATATATATATATATATATACCTTAACTTCTTGCTTTGATGTTGCTACTTATTAATTTTAGTTTGGTTCTCAATTCGTCCATGTGAAGTTTATAACAGTTGAGAAGATGTTCAAAATATGTCCTCCATCATTCTATGATATTTAATTAGGCAGTAATTAGTGTTCCATCTTCCTTTTCTTAGAACTTTTCATACTTTTTATAGCCTCCCTTTATTATATTAATTTTATAATATATGTTATGTTTTTATTGTTAGTAATGAAATTTTTGAGTTAGTTGATTTAAATAATATTATAGCTAGTATTAGGAATATGTAGACTCTAAAAACTATACCAAATTGTTGATCATAACATTTTCCATTAAAAATTGTATGATTTTTATGTCTAAAGGCGGGATCCCACGGCGCGGTAGATTGTCGCGAGCCGTGGGATTACCGTTAATCATATGACGAGCCATGCAACATTTCCTTTGACGCGTGTCACAAAGACCGACAATCATCAAGAACGGTCGCGCCGCGCCCCACCAATCCCACGGCGCGTTTATAGTACCGCGCTGTACCACACCACTCGCCGTAGGATCCTGCCTCAAGGTTTATGTTTCTTGTTTCCTAATTTCTTGAATATCCACATCTTGACTTGTATATTTTTTGCATCATGTGTTAAATAATTTGTGAACGTTCCTTGAGCCCAAAAACATTTCCAATTTCCTGTTTCCATTTTTGTTTTTCTTAGATCCACTATTTTGAAGCATTTTGTTTGGTTTTGAGTAGAGGAATAGTTTTAGAGTAATAGTTTTTTATAATGGTCGATTGTTAACCCAGCACTAATCCTTCAAACTGGAGGATCAGTTTACCTCAACCAATAAAGATCAGGGCAGGGCTATTGCAATGTAGTATTTATTAGTATTACAGTGGGCGATGGGGCGCCACATTCCCAATACCAAAAAATAATATTAAATTATATTGAAAAAATAATCTAGTCTTAATTACATAATATAAACTACTTAAGTTAACAATTATGTTTTTACTTTATTTTACATTAAACAGCAAACTCTGTAACCTCTGTACAATATAGACTTATTAGAGCTAAAGAAGAAATGAATGCCAAATCAAAATGTTCTATTAATAATAATATTTCAAAAAGTGAAATAATAAAAAAGTCTTCATCGTGTAAGTAAACTATTAAAATTTATTAAGTTATTCATAAATAATATTTTATATATTTTACTATTAATATAATTGTTTTCATTATATTCTTTGTTTTGATTAAATTTAGTGAATAATATACAGCAAAATAATAATTTACTTAACCATAACATTAAAAACAAAACGAAGAGATTAAATAAATCATTTCAAACTACCACAAAAAGTGATTCAATCCTTGCATCAACTCATAAAAAACCTCTTTTAAATAATTTAAATATCAATCAAATATTGAATAAACAACTGATCACTGTACAACAAAAACCAGTCGTACCAAAAAACATGATTTCATCTAAACCTTCTGGTGAGTTTTTTTTTTTTTTTATTTATTTTTGATGATTTAATATTTACTTTTAAACAATAATTTTTTATGTAACATTTTAAATACAGAAACAATTATATCCAAAAAATTGGAAAATGAAGATATTTTAAAAAAGAAAGAAACCGAATTAAATTCCTTTAGTTTTATTATGCCTCAAACTTATTCTGTTCAGCAAAGATTGGAAAAAAGAAACAACTACAACAATTGTTATGCTGAGTAAGTATACAAATAATTTTGAACATTTTGTTATGTTAGAAATCTTGGACTATTCTGATACTTTTTGTTTATCAAATATTATATATTATTTAGTATCTAGAGTTAATATAACTTAAATTACATTTTTACTACCTGCAATTCAAGTTCTAGTAGCTTGACTGTATAAATTAGTTAGAAGCATAAAAAATGAGTATGGCCAACATGCACCTGATGATTGTTAGCAAATAGTCAATTAGTAAATAATTTTTCATATATTATTTTCATATATTTCAAACTATTTTTCAAATTATTTAACCATAATAATAATAGTAAAATATACAACAATTTGGACGATATTACTATTGGAAACTAACAAGAAATAAATGGATTATATTGATGGATATATTATGTATCTTATATACATGATTAAAATCTTATACTTAATAACATGATAATCTAATAATCAAAATTATATTATTTATTTTTATTTAGTACACAATGTAACGAAAATGATTCTATGGATTGGGAAACTATAAATGAACCCAGCAATATTGTTGACAAAGTAAAATACCTAATAATATTTCATATATTTTAAAATTTAATTTATATAATTTAAATTATTTTTATGATTTAAAAAGGTTAATGACTTAAGAAAAACAACATACTCTTATGAACCTATGGAATGGACCCCTGATACAATTATGCACAGTGATCTAATAAATAACTGTTTAGTGGTTGACACAAACATACTTTTATCAGACTTAAAATCCATTACTATAATTATAGATAAATATTTACCTGGTAAAGTAATATAAACCAAAAAAATATATCTTATTGTAAAACTTATTTTATTTAGACTATAATGGTTATTTAACTATTGTGTTACCATGGCGGGTCTTACAAGAACTTGACTGCATAAAAAAAAATGAAAATGCACTTGGTTACCGAGCAAGGGAAGCCACTCGATGGTTATTGGAAATGCTTTCAAATAATCATCCGCGATTAAAAGGTCAACCCATGACAACAAATAATAACAGTACGAATGCTGATGATTCTATTTTAAAATGTGCCATGTCTGTGAAAGAGAGAGTAAATTGTGTAGTAAGTAGTTTATTTTTAATGATATATCTTATTATTTATTTAACAAGCCTTGTATATAAAATTAGATTTTTGACATAATTGTTAAAATTTTTTTTAGTAAACTATTTGTATGCTTTTAATTACATATCAATAAGAAAAACAAATACTAGTAAATTTATTGTTTGCAGACTTTAATAACAGATGATAAAATATTAAGCATAAAATCAGAAATTAATGGAATACCTGTAAAAAATTCAGCATGGCTTCAACATTTGGTATCAGTCAAAAATTCCAGCAAATCTGAAATATTTCAAGGTTAGTGTTAACAAATCATTATGATTAAAAAACAATTTATATTATTACTGCAGACAAGTACATATATTTAATGTATTGTATTGTAGCTTCTTAATCTAGTTATTAATGTAATAATTATTATATCAACAAACTAAATTTTTTTTTAGTTCAATTTTGTTTATTGTAATTTTTAAATTATATTTAACTAATATTCTGTACATTTTAAATACTTTTTCAATACCTGTTTAAATAGTTTAAAATGTAAAATGATACAATTCAAGTAATGAAGAACCACAATCAAATATTATAATAGATTTTTCTCAAATAAAATTCTTGGTAAAAGATGATAAAAATCTAATTGTGTTCAGGCTAGACGACCAAAGTAATTGAAATCCAACGTAACCACATTCGACATTGGCTGTGTTTAGATGTGAGAATATTGGCATACTACCCAAACTTATTCCGAATTTGTTGTTAATCCGTGTTTGGAAGCTGGTTTAAGCTTGTTTAACCTGCGAATGCACACAATTTATTTTATATATCCATTTGGATTAATTGTTAACAAAGACTAAAATATCAACAAATCACATCCAAATCGATAATAAATTCCTTTGATGTACGGCTCCCTGATCAAAAGCGACCGAAGGCACATTTGCTGTAAACCAACATCACCAAATAAGGTCGTCACATGTGCCTTCACTACCCTTGGTCATCTAGTCTGGATACGGCTTAAGAGAGCGATCCGTGATAACATTGAATAATTAACTACGGAAACGATGACAACTATGCAATGATATCATTTCCTTCCACTATTAGGAATTGTCATAATTTCCTAGGAATTGACATAATTTCCTAAATTATCAATATTTCAGGTGACACATATATTATGTCTGCTAATATATTAGGAAATACACAAATAAATTAAAATATGGATTACTTTAAAAGTTAAATATAATTTTGTTACTCTTTCCAATTTTGATAATAATTACAATTTTTTTATTTCAACTAGTGACCATACTTATTCTTAGAGGGGGGGGGGAATAGCTGAGGAAGGTAAGGTGACAATGTTTAAACACACTTTCACCAGTTCAATTCTGGTCATCGGTGATTTTGTTAGAGGATAACTTTCAAAAGAGAAAAAACTACCTAGATTTCCCACCCCAACCAATGTGTATGACACTAACAAAAACCTTACAAACAAAAGCAAAACTATTGCACCACTCGTACTAAAAATAATTTAATATCCAAAACTCTTGATTGCTGTGGATTAATGAAATAAAAATAAAATAAAATAAAAATACTCTTTTTGGAGTTCCAATCTGTTTTCGAATGTTAGAAATTATAATAAATATTTTTTCTTTGTCGAGCAATATACAAAATAATTCACTTGATGTCCCATTAACAATGCTTCTTCATCTTAAAACAGCTTCAAAATATCTAATATTGTTTTCTTATACATTGCTTTAATTCTCCCTTGGCTAGTTTTTAGTTTAACATTCTTCAGAAAATATTAAATCTAAGTCTGAAGAATAATTTTTAATAAGTTGTTTGCCTTTTCTTTCAATTCATATTTTTCCAGTTCATTTAATCTCCATAACAATTTGAAGGAGTGTCTTAATTGCAAATAAGCAACTTTTTTTCGCTATATAGGTTATCACTTATCACGTATTAATTGCGCTGTAATTAAAATTTGTTATGAATGACTTTCGTCTATCAAACTCGATACTTGTTACATTAACCATAAGATAACTTCAATTTTTTTCTTTGTTTATCTTTTTTATAATCTTGAGAACCACATATTAACTTTGTTTTGCTTTCAAAGGTTGAAAATCGTTCTTCATTCCTTAATACCATTAAATACAATTCTAGCGTTTTGTATAGCATTATCATCTGATCTAATTTTACATATTCCCCTTGAAGTGTTTTACTAACATCTTGAAACTTTATCAGGATTTCATTCCAATAGCAAATCATCAGTGCCATTTCTAAGAATTTAGTTAATTAAACTTAATTTTTGCCTTAAGTTGATGTTTATTATTGTTCGTACTTGTACTGATTTCTTATAAAGCTGCAATTAATGGTTTATAGCAGGAATGGGCAACTGGCGGCTCCTATACTTTTTTTATCTGGCCCATGCTACATTTTCAAATTGCTTCATATCATTTTAGCGTTTATCAGTATTATATTTTTCTCTAGTATTGTTCACCAGCTAAATTATAAAATGTCTAAGTATAATATATATTCATATCGGCATTGCAAACATAACTGTGTTAAGCACTTATTTTAATGCATTGGTTCAATTGTAAAATGTAATTATTTAAAATAAATGCTAATGGTCAACTTTAATGACTTATTTTCATATTTGCTTCTTTTACTATGGCTCACCAAATTTTAAAGTTTTAAAAATTGGTCTTATATTGTAACCCTATGTAAACGTTAATGTGAATACTGGTTCGAAGGTTAGTGTATTAAAAATTTAAAAAATATCTTCAAAATTTCTAACTGGCTATTATTTTGTTACAACGAGAGACCATTCAACATTGTAGAAAGTGCAGTTAAAATTTTAATTTTATTTTCCACAAATATTTACAAATTATTCAAAGATATCTTTCAATCATTATTAAGAATGCATTTTGCTAAAAAGACAAGACTGATAGAAAACAGAATTAAATTCATAATGTGTACATTTTACTTTAAAGACCTATAAATGTAACATCAGTTGTTAACTTCTTATTTAATAAATCTTAAAAATTATTAGTATTGATTAAAAGTTCCTATAAATTATTTATAATTTATTTTATAAGCTTTATTAAAAATGTATAATTTTGTATTTGATACTATAATCAAAACGGTTTTAAATATCTTTAAATGATGATTTTAGATATTACAAGACTATTAGGTAATAAATGTAATACAGCAAAACTACTTAGATTAGTTAATAGAAATACCAATAATTTAATACCAATAGTTAATAGAAATATATATAATTTATATAATAATTTTCATTGGTTGTGTCTCCCAAATGAAATTTTTTTGAAAAAACAAATCACTTTGTGTTTAATGATATATTTAAAAAGAAATGTAGTGAATATTTTTATTTTATTTTTTGCTTTATGGGCCATTCAGGCCTTTTGCAGCTTCTACTAATCCTCTCCACACGTCACGGTCAGTAGCGGTCTTGATGTCTGCTATTCCGTCTATTATTCTTATATCTGCATTGACTCTATCTTTCCATCATTGTCGAGGTGTTCCCCTGGGGCGCTTGCCAGCTAGTTTATTTATCAGTACCTCCCGGATTATGCTTTCTTCAACGCGCCACATATGGCCCGCCCATTCTAAACGCTTGGAATTTAGAAAGCATTTAATACTTGGTACAGAGATTCCAAAATGGTATTTTTTCTCCTTTTATATACCCCAGTTATTTCATTTCTGACAGGACCGTATATTTTCTTTGGCACTTTTTTCTCGAAGATAAGAAGTTTCTCCTCATCCCCTTTAGTCGTCGACCACGTCTCACTAAAATACATGACTATTGGGTGTAAATATGTTACATACCTTTATCCTTTGTCGCCCATGATAGCATTTTTGAGCTTAATAATTTATTCATTGAGAAGTATGCTCGGTTCGCCGAGTTAATTCTAAGTCTAACTTCATTATGCATGTCATTTTTATAGTTGATATTAACCCCCAAGTACTTAAAATCATCGACCTGTTCGACGGTGTATAGTCCGACTATCTGATTGTTCTTAGCGGGCGTGTGGCATGTCATTAGCATGTATTTTGTTTTTGCTCCGTTAATTGTGAGACCCATCTTCTAACTAGATGCAATTAACTTTTCCGCAATGTGTCCTATCTCCTGGCGACTATTTCCTAGTATGACGACGTCATACTAAATATTAGCAATCTAGAAATATAAGCATTCATTTTAAAATTTTGTATTGCCCAATACAATTGTATTTGACAAGATATATCCCATACCTACATATAACCTTTTCCTAGAATTATTTACCAAATTCATTGATTATTCAATCATTACATTTGTTTTATATCAACATACTACTAATAAAAAAAGACTTGCTCTTCTAACCTAGAACTACATCTTATTGGCTCTAAAAATTTGAGTTTATTGAACTTAAATATTTTATATCTACGAGGATATTTAATTTGGTTAAATATTAGGTTTATGAATATTAACTTAATTATTAGGATAATAGTTTCATTAATTTGTATACAAAATAATGTAACTAAAATAAATAAATATTAAGTAGTCATATCTAATTTTCATGATAATTGGTAAGTGTTTACAAATATAATTGTATTTAATATCTTTCCGAAAAATAAAACTTTACATTTTAAGACATAAGTATACCTTTTGTTGTGGATAAAAAAAAAATTAATTTTCAAAATACTTGAGTAGGTAGTCCTTTATAATAAATAATAATAATAACGCAACACATGATTTTCATTATAATCCGTAGCATATTTATAATTATGTATAGCTTAATTGTATCAAATGAGTATAAAAAGGTATTCTTTATATAAATAAAATTTAATTCGGATTTTTTCAGGTAGTGCTTGACGTGTCTTCATCAGGTTACAGATGGTACGTAATACTCAAAAATGAAGGTATCTATAGGAACAATACATATTTATTAAAAACATAATATATTTAATAGTTTTTAAAAATAATAAAAATAAATAAAAGAACTTTTTATTTTATTATTTCAAATAAAACCTTGAATTTAAATATTTATAAATATTTATAAATATTTTATAAAACTAAAATAAATTCTTGAAATTTATAATATTTTTTTTAAAACAATACATTTAATTAATTTTTTTTTTTTTGTTCCTTGAATTACAAAATACTGTTTTTTTTTTTTTTTTTTTAATGACTTACGAATTTAGAATGAATAAAGAAACAAATTAATTATATATTTATGTAAAAAATACCTCTTAAATAACCATTACAAATTTGTTCATTCTATACCTATATCAGAAAATATCAGTATTTGAAACAATTGGTTAAGTTGTTTACTAGAGAAAATAATTTTTTTAAGCTTAATACCAAAATCGCCTATTAAATCAATTGTTTATTAGGTTTAAGTATTCATTTTATTTAATTTTGATTATTAAATTCTTGTTTGTAAACATGTTTGAATGTTTATATCATATGAGAATAAGTAATTTGGAATAAATGTTAGTATTCTACTGTATTACATTTTATTACTCTAATCAATTTAATTGAAACATGTAATATTATTTGTTATATTAAGTGATATAATAAGTTTTACCAACTTTTTCTTTACTTTTTAAGTATAAAAAAATATATTGTTATTAAGAATATAGACTGAAATAATGTATGAATTACTTCTAATTTTCATACTATTGAATAAAAGTATTTATTATTTTATATAAATTGTGTTTTATCTTACCAAATGCCTAGTAAAGTTACCAAATTAATTATATATGATAACTAATCTTAATTTATTGGAAACTGAATTGATTGTATTTTATGAAAATAATTTTAATATCATGTTTATAAAAAAGTGGCCCACTCACATGGTCTTCTAAATTTTGATCATTTTTAATAAATTCTAAATATATTTTAAAGTACTTCAATATTTCAATTACTTAATGCGTTATGGAATTATTCAAAAGAAAGAAATCTGTGAACTTTACTATAGTTATATTATATATTTAATGTAGACAGTAACAATTTAATTATGTGTATACATAAATATTTGCTAGTTAATTTAATTAATTAACTCACAAAAAAATATTTAATAATGAAATCAAAACTTCTTTATACTCAAAAAAATGTATTAATTTTTCACTAGTTTTAACAGTTGTAAATTGTCTAATACTATGTTCAAAATATATTTTCTATAAATATTAATCAGTTTGAAAATTAATGAAGTTTATTCTGAATTAGCATTGATAATGTACTTACAACTTTTACTTTTATAAATATAATGAATTTATATTATATTTTAATTATATTTTTTCATTAAATTCACAATTATTTTAATTAGTTTTCCATCTCAACCCATACTATAAATATATCATTTAATTTGTGTTTTCAAAGACAATGATTTTACAGGTTTTAAAAAACATATTGATAATTTAGATACCTCTGGTTTTTCTAGATAAATGAATATTTATCTACCATGTTTACTATACAATGTAATAATTTTATTTAAGTGTGTAATATCTGTTAGTTATTTATATTTTCTCCAGAATAATTTTTTTTGTATTGAAATTGAACATTAGATTATTTTTGATTTTGGTTCTTGATTATTGTTTCCAAAACATAGACATTTATTAACTATTACACTGTTATAAATATTTAAACTTAGGATTTATTTTTGTGTTAAGTATTGTATATTTATAGTTTGTTGTTATAATAATAATACAAAAATCTGGTTAAATATAATTGTATTGTAATTAGTAAGTATGTTTTATCATTTTCAATATTATAATATTTCTATCATTTTCATTAGTTATATCATTATTAGTTCATCAGTAATTATATTTTAGAGGCTGTTAAAAAATATCCAATAATTGAAAACAAACTAATAATGCAATTTGAGTCACATTTGGAACACATTATAGCCAGAGTATGTATAAATTGATTATGTTAGTTCAATATTTAAATTATTTTGTCAATTCTAATTTTCAATGCTTTAACAATCAAATTTATTTATATAAAACATTTTAATATAAATCAAAATGTTTAAATATTACTATGTATCTTAAGTTATTTGCCATGGAAGTAATTAAATGAAGATAAAAAATATAACTCAACAAACAATAGTTGATTTAATTTTTAATTGTAATAACTTTTATACCAATTAAATTTAGACATTTGACTATTGATAAGATAGAAATATGTTCTTAACATTTATTATTTTGTATAATTTAGTACACAAAAAAACATATATCTTTATGTTATACTTCATTCAGAATTTTTTTTTAATTTTTCATTAGTTTAAAGTAAAAATTATGATTAAAATCTTGTTTTTCTTTTTTAATTAATATTATATTATATTAATATTAATATTATATTTATTTAATAACTAATTTTGATATAATTCAACAGGTTTTAAAATTTGCTGTAGGTCAAAATAAAGAATATTCTATTTTCACAAAAAAAGCTTGGTGGAAAATGTATTCACTAACACCACCACTTAATTTAACAAAATGTTTATTAAAGCTTAAAGAACATTGGGGCATAATAGTACCCCAGCAGTTTCTTAAAGGGCCTCTAAAACAATTAGATTGGATGGAATGTTTTTTTAAGGATTTACAAAAGTTAAGTAAGTTAAAATTATATTCAAAATATTGTATTTATATCTGTGCATGAAGAAGTAATTTATAGTTTTTTATTTTGTTCAATAGTATCTGAAAATAGTCTTAACTGGAACGAGATTTATAACTTGATTAAATATTGTACAGAAATATTTATTGCTTTACCTTATGAATATTATCATATTACTGACATGCTTTTTAATGATTTAATGGTAAGATTCACTTTTTAGTGCTATACTCAATTAATTACAAATTATAATTTATTTTTCATAATAATTGTTCACTTGTGTTTTAATAGTTATTATTTCAAATTTATCAACAATTTATAAACCTACCAGTATATAATAATAAACAACACTTTAGTTGACCCAGTCACTGATATAATATATCTGTGGTTACTGGTTACAATCCAAGCAAGTAAATTAATATCTATCGAAATTGGCTTTATTTTAGTGACAGCTCAAATTTGAATAGGGGTTTATTAACTTTAAAAATATAAATTTTTTAGATAATAGTGGTCATGAAATGATATAAGATAGATAATTGCTAAAAAGTAAATAATTAAAATTTTCATTTTTCCTATTACTTTTTTTCATAAATTTCAACAGAATTAATTTTTAGAGAATATTAATGATATTTTATTCATAACTACCTTAAAAATTTAATATTTATATTGAATTTTTATAAATTATTTTGTTACAACTTTTTGAACATGGAATATAATGTTGTGTACCATCAGTTTAACGGTTTTGATGTTAAGAAGTGTGATAGAATGTTTCAAATAATAATTAAAATTAAGTTGAACTCTATTTATTGTAAATATTCTAAGTCTAAAACATTTAATTTCTTTAGAAAATTAACTGGTGTGAAGGTGCTTGCTACGATAGGACATATCTGGTAATTGGTCTGTTCCATAACCCATTCTTGTATGGTATTGTGATCTTTACAGGTAGCAAACATATTTTGACCTGGATAAAATATGATTTATGTCCAGAATAGTATCTTATAATTGTCCTATACCTTTAATGTTCAGTATCCCAGTCTTCTAAAATACGTTCTATTTTAAATATTTAATATTTTTGATACTTAATGTTATACTTGAGTGGTTAGCCTCGAGATATTTGGGAATAGCATAACCAACCCTTCATATATTATTTTGTGACTTGTATTTATATATCGTAAATTTGTAGTAAAATCTACTCTAATAATTGGAAATAGTTTAATATTGATTGTGTGGTCCCCCAGTATAATGATGTTTGTAAAGACTATCATCTATAACAATCTAAAAAAAAATCCATAACAATAATTTTTTTTTTCATTTTTACAAAATATAAAGTGTAATAATGAAAATATTTATTACCACAATTTTAAATTAAAATTGTAATAATTTTATAAGAAGTCATTTGCATGTAGTATTTTAAGGATATAAATTTATGTACACTAGTTGTGACTTTATGGAGTGGTATTGCTTGTATTTAGATTTTTTAACTTGTTTGTTATTATCATTAAACTAACAAATGTATAATATGTACATTATGTATTAAATATGTTTTCAATCTAGTTATTTATTTATAAATTCTTTTGATTATTATATTTCAGAATGCTAGAAAATTTTTAAAAAGAAAATTGGATTGTGAAATAATAAATGATGAGTCATTATCAATTTCTTTAACAAATGACTTAAATATATCAAGTGTTAATTATTCTTCTAATATTGATAATGTTTTACTGAATATTTTAAAAGAAGTTGATATGTTTTGGTAAATAATAGATGTTGATAATTATTTTAATAATTTAACAACATTTTTTGATTTTAACAGCATAAATATCTATAAATCTAAAGGAATCAGTCATAGATCATTTGAAAAACCCAATTGTTTACTTTTAAAAACATATTTTTATGATGAAATTGAAGAGTATTGCCAAAAAATATCAAATATAATTAAGGTTATGTCAAAGTATGTATGAATTATGAAATATAAGTTGTATATTTTAATATTATAAAATATATTATCCATTTCAGAATAAAAAAATTGAAAATTGAACAAATACTAGAATCTCGTATAATTATTGATGAATTTTTCAAAGCGATTATTGCTTTTGACAATAATTTAATAAATTTAAATAAAGAAAAAGTAGTTGACTTTTGTTTGATGAAAGACAAGTATGTATTATGAAGCCTACATTAGTTAATAATTTTCAATTGTTATAATGTATTATAAAACCTTTTTCAGAATTTCGTTTTTAAGCATATTTCTATCCTTTCAAAATAATTTAGCAGCAATGAAAAATTTGGTTACTTCTATTAATTCTTAATATTTAGTTATAAATAAATTAATTATTTCTTGAGTATTTTTATAAAATTTATTTTTTAAATGTGTAAGGATGTAAAACCAAAATTATTTAATTATTTTAGATGATTACTGTTTATTTCATTACTTATTGTTATTAAAAGAATCATATGTAACTTGTTAATTTTTTTGTTTTGTTATTTACAACTATAAAATACTAAAACTAAGGACCTAATATTGCCATAGCAATTTTATTTTTTATTGTCCTTTAATACATTAATATTATAATATTTATAGCCTATCACAATTTTATTTTAATATTTTAACTTCAAATTACATGAAGAAAAAATAACAGATAACAATTAATTCTTTTTTAAAATTAAAATAAATTATACACAGATTCATAGTTTGGTTCTAATTGAACAAGTACAGTGTGTACACATACCACAACTTTTAAAATCCTGAACTTCAATATTTAAACTACGTAGAGCATACTCTCATTTACTGTTGTGAAAAATAAGCTCTTAAGTTTTTGTAAGTTATCAATAAAGTGCCCATTGATATTATCTATGAACAATAATAAGATTTGTTATTTTGGTTCATAACGTTACGTCGCTTTGCCGCGACAAAAATCGTTTTGCGTCATTGAATTCGATAAATCTAAATCGGTAACATTCGAAAGGGAAAGTTGATCGTCATAACCAGGGTTCGTAAGTTCATGCCCAAAAAAATTCCTTAAAAATTTTATAAAAAATATGCATTTATATGCATTAAATATCTAAAATGATGAAATAATAAATAATTTTTGAAATAACACGAACTATCCATTCATTTTTTTTATTTTTGTATGTCACGATTAAAAAAAATAGATTTTATATACTATTTAATACTATTCTTGAGCCTTCATGAATTGCGTATAATGTACGTCTTTGTCAGTAATTCATTTTAAATCTGAAACTTTTAAAACAAATGTATTCATTAAATGTTCGAGTATCAAAAAGATAAGAAAAGAAAATATAATACAATTTCTATTTTTAATTTTATATATAATTTTCCATTTACAGTTTTGATAGATTCTAATAGAATGTTGTATAATATACCCGATAAAATAGAAATATGCCAAATATATAAAAACATGCAAAATAAGATTTCACATATTTAACCGTGGTACCTTGAAATGGATTTCTATATCATCTTGCGTTAAATACAATTTTGCAAGATTGATATGCAAATGCATGAACTTACGAGCTCTGGTCAGAACATATAACATATGTGTATGGGATAATAAAAATCCTCACGAAATCGTTGAGCATGAGCCTGATTCTCCCAAGATTAATGTTTTCTGTACGGTTTAAAATGAGACTGGTTTTGGCCCTTTCTTTTTTCAAGAAGTTACTGTCATTGATGCCACCATCCATCAAGATATGCTTCAGAATTGGTTGATGCATCAGTTTAAACAATGATGTAAGAGTTTTATTTTTCACCAAAACGATGCCCCTCCCCTTCCCTCCATTGGTACTTATCCTTTCGTTGGTAATTGAACAAAGAGTATCCATAACGGTGAATCGGCCACCTAGATACATGACCAGTGGCGTATTTAATACATACGCGCCCCGGGGCAAAATAATTTTTTCGCCCTTCACCCTTGCAAAAAAAAAATATATATATATAGGTATTTATAAATAAATTCAAAGTCAAGCAATAAAAAAATTAATTTTATGAAACAAACTATAAATCAGCTGTTTTGCGATATTGTATTGGATAATTTTATAGTAATACATATCCTAAAGTTAACTTAATTTTTTTTTTTCAGTGAATATTTCTTTCTTAAAAATATATATATAAATATTAAATTTAGAAAACGGAATTTATACTTATTATATGCAAATGATTAACAATACATGATTTTTTATTAGATTAAATATATTATATTTATTATTAATTATATATAATAAAATAAGCGATAGCTTATAATTTTTTTCTTGACTTTTAAGAAAAAAAATGTTCAATAATATCATTAAAATTAATAGTTTTCGTTAAATCAGCTTCAATGTTGAGGGTTGTTAATTAATTAAGATGATTTTTTCTCGTTGTTGATCATAAATAAGTTTTGACCCTTTTTAATGTAGAAATTGATTTTTCCGTTGAACAATTACTTGAAGGTATACATATATAGTAGCATCCTTAGAGCAATATCAATATAAGGATATACTTTAACTAAACTATTCACTTTTATAAATGCTAACATACATTGAACACTTTTAGGTACAATTTTACTCCTTTTGTAAACTTCTTAAATGTGCCCTAAAGTGAATACCGCGTTCTGTGTACCCGAGTCTTTATTATAATCATTGAACGAAAATATAATATTGAATAATAAATGTATACCTATTTAATATACCTATTTTGCTATTTCACTATTATATAGGTGACTAGGTATAGTATAATTTTTTTAATTTCTTATTTAATGCTCAACAATATTTTTTTAAAATACTAAACAATGCCGAAAAATATGTGAAAATTAAAAAAAAAAATCATAAAATCATCAATAATAAAAGTTAGAATATTTTGCCACTCCCAAAAATTTGCCATCCGGGGCATTTGCCCCTTTAGCCCCCCCCCCCCTTAAATGCGCCACTGGGTACAGCTATATATATAAAAAAAAGAAAATTGTAGCTGATACAATTTTTATCGAGTTAAATATACTTTTGAAAAATATAACAATAGTAAAGTGTCATAAATAACATTCTTAAACACTCAGTACTAAGAACCACACAAGATAATTTCATTACAAATAAAAATGTTTGATGCTCAGCAAAGTGGGCAGGGGTCAGTTAGCTTATAATAAAATTATTTTCCTATATTATACACATTGGCGTGTCATACATGTGTGCGATGTGTGCAAATGCCACGGGCCCTTGGCTAGGTGGGGGGGGGCATGATTGCTTAAAATTGAAGAAATAAAAAAATTAAATAAATATAACTATGAAAAAATAATAAGTTTTTGTTCACATGGTTCTCAATTTGAAATCAATATATATATATATAAATATTGTATCATATTTGATTATCTTTACTTCTGCAAAATAAATAATTTAGGGTGACTACATTTTTTATATAAAAATCCGTTTTCAGTGGTTTTCAATATCGCTTTATCGCTTATCAGCTTTATTCCACACTGATGGCTGGGTATATTATTATGTAAAAAGTATACATATAATATAAACCTCTACGAATTTACACGGCTAAAATATCGCTACGTATTTACTGAGTAAGGTGTATTATTTTATGACTCTCGTAGTCTCGTGTGTCATTGTTCAGAGTCAAAACAAAATAATTGACGACAAACTAAATTAAATATTTTATTTTATAAATTATAATTATAATAGCTTTAAAATTTAAAAGTGGTGCTGCAAAACGCAAAATAAAAAAACAAAGAGAAGGATCTATTAAACGGATAACGAAAATTGATACATTTTTCAAACAACACCATGAAGAAACAAAAAAAGAGTGAGCTATTGATGAACCATTTATTTTGACAAATTAAATTAAATATTCAAAAATAAAGTCAAAATACAGTCATTTTTTTTACTTTAGCAAAAGAATAATTTAAAATCAATATATTTTATGTAACATTGGATAATCCAATAATACCATTCAAAGAACGTTTTACCAGTTAAAATTACAAAAATTCTGATTTATCTAATGCTCTTGCTGGTCAAACTTTGTCGTTCAGATCTTGTTTTCAATAAGAAATTACAAAACGAACATCGGTAAAAGCAATTAGTGAATTAATAGTTATAGAGAACCTCACATTAACAATAACATTTTCTGAAATATGTATAGCGTATGATATTTTTAACACTTCCCGTAACAGTTGCTACAGCAGAACGTTCATTTTTAAAATTAAAATTAATAAAAATATAATTACGGAGCACAATGTGTAAAAAAAAATTAAGTGGACTTGGAATTCTATCTATTGTAAACGATCGAGCACATTAATTAAATTTAAAAAAATAACTAATAATTTTGCTGAAAAAAAAGAACGCAAAGGAAATTTCAATCGCACTAATATTATTATATGTAATTTCATCTTCTTTTATACATAATTTTAATTTCAATACAAAAGGATAGTACTTAGATTTTTATAAGATTTTATTATTTTAGAATAAAAATACTTATTTTAAATTTGAACTTATATAACTATAATTATAATATTTTGAATTAAAATTTGAAGAAGCCCTTTTTTTATTATTACATATGAGTCTATATTTGGGATGAACCGTCACTGATTACACAATCCTTGAATACAATGTACTTTTAATTATTTTGACTTTTCTGCCCATAGAGTTGTTTGAATCCAACTTTAGTCTGCAACCAATTCTGTTCAGAATACTGACTAACTCCTTCATCAAACACATGAAATGTATAAGCATGTCGCGAAAACTGAGATTTATTTTTTTCACTTTTATGCACCACTCTTCCGTGTAACAATACAAGACTGGCTGTGAACACAATTTTATCCATCTTATGATTACTGATATACGTATACTTTTGTGGATTTCGAAATGTATATTATATAATTTTTATAAATTTATTATTACACTTATCAACAGCCACAGGGACGTATAAAGACTGATCATATTCTGAATTAGTTCCTTGAAAAACCATTGGTTCATCTACAGCACAAATGTTTGGGTTGCGAATGAACCTTTTTTGTAAGTCAACAGTCTTGTGAGATCCTGGTATTATCCACAAGCAACCATTTTCTATTTTGGCATCATCAAGCGCTATCCAGAACCCAACTAATGAATCAGGTTCCGTAAACAGAAATGTTGAATCCTGATGTTCATCGACTATATTGAACAGCAATATAACAATATTAAGGTATCCGTTTAATATAACATGTATCTTGTCATATGCAGTTTGTTTAATGAACAGTGTATCGGTTGAATTCCTGTTAGTGTATTTAGATGTAACATAGTTTACATCAAGAAAGTAAACATTTTAATCAACTGACTCAAGCCGTGTTTCATCATCAATCCTTAATTTTCGACTACTCCCTCTTTTCCCCAAAGAAATTATGAACACTAACAATCAACAAAAAGTCATCACACTAACAATCAAATCCAGGCAATCTTAAGGCACCCATTCTGGATGAACTATACATTTTCTATAATATTTTGGGCTGTTACTTCTAGGAGTGCCCAAAAGATTATATTTTTTATTATTATTATTATTACTGTATTCATATTAATATTCTATATATATATATATAATATCATTGATTGAATATACTTATAGGTATTATATATTAATTATAGGTACCTATCACGTGTTTGAAATGCAATGGCGATCGTTGTGCGTTTGACGACAACCCTTATTCTCCTGGTTTTATTATAACCAAATATGTGTCTTCTTAGTCACGGTCATATAAGATAGTGTTCCCACTTTTCTAGTAATAATCGCCACCAATCATTAAATCGTTTATGGTTAAAACAAGTTTTATTTTTTTTTGCTTAAGATCTCTGTCGTGGAACAAGAACGACAGATTGAAACAGGTTTACCGCACGTGGGTCGGTGCTGATTAATTTGTAATTATTCTTTTAGCGCTTTTTATTTTGATAATTATGCTTCAGCGGAGCTGTGGAGTGGAACCGGCCCACCACCAACGCAACGTTTCACGTTCTCATTCGACGGCGAGTATTATCAGACTACTCACTGTCGGACTATTCGCTGCGAAGAGAACCTTCTCACAAAATATTATTATTACCAATTACTACCAATTATTACTTATCATTAAAGATTAATAAACAACAATACTTAGATTATGATATTTTTTCAAACCTCACCACCCGATTTTTTGCATGTGTTCATCCCTAATTGACACTCTTTGAGTTGTGAAACATAAATTTTGATATGTTCCTTAATTTAAATCAAGTACATTATAACACCCCCACGGTCTCACAATATAATTTGCAGCTTTAATTTCCGTTTGTCCATAAGAAGCTTACTCTACTTGCATACTCCTTTGGGGTAAAAGATTTTTCCAGAGCGCATAATATGAACAAAGCCCCGAAACCAACACTTTTGGGAAAGAAAAATTAACAACCTTTTTTGTATGTATGTTCTACGTTTAGTCATCGTTTTATGTTCGCGCTTTCTCTGTCAATGTACCTATACGGTAAGTAAATCAAAACGGAGAAATCATGGTCGCCTCTTCAACTTGATATTTCAAACCCACCCTTACCCCTGCATAAGAGAACAATTACCGATACACAGTTGAGATTTCTATCGCGTTGTTATTTCACCTTTGCCACCGATTCCCGGGTTTTTGTATATATACATGCTTTGTACCACCAATGGCCTCACTAAACCCAGAGCACGGCAAATGTTTGTCACTTTTTCGCTGTACGTACAAGCCTCGAATACGGGATGCAGCCTGTGTAATGCGTGGCCGACCTTGTTCAAGGCCACCGTAGGGTCCACCAATAGACGTTTGTTTTCGTCCAGTGCGTTTTTTTCGTAGAAAAAGCCTATGGTGTCGGCGCTGTCCATGAAATAACTGTTCGCCTCCTGGAAAAAAAAAAACGGAAAGCGATGCAACATTTACATAGGTACTTCGACACCTAATTACAGTACCATACAGTGTTTATTTCAGAGGAGGTATCGTAGATTTTCATAGGGGGTATACAGGCCCATAACCACGAGAAGGGAGGTCGTTCCCCCTGTACATAATCGTTGCCCCCCAAAAAAAAATATTATATGTGTATATGTATTAAATAGTGGTATTACATAATAATTATGTATAGTATCAGTGCTTATTTCAGAGGTGATCTGGGAGTATTACCCATCTGCCTCGATTAAAATGTATTCCCCCTTTAACATTTTTTATTTATTTGTTAATTATTAATTATTAATTAATTTTTTCGGAACGGGGGTATACATTTTCATCGGAGCAGGGGGTAATACTCCCAGAACACCCCTGAAATGTGCACTGATACTTTATATGAGGGTGTTCGCGGCTGAATTGAATTTGAATAAGGAAAAGGATATGCTAAGTGGGTGAAACCAAAATTCTTATGTAGTAATTAACGGGAAGTTAACGGGAACTTTTCTTATTTTTACCATATTAAAATCCAGGGTAGCCCAAAGGGTTTCCTCGATAGAAATATGTCAGTAAATATTAATATTCTTTACAATTTTTTTGTTTTATTACAATTCATTGAAATTTTTACCAGAAAAACACGCGAAATAATATTCTTATTAATATATACGAGTATACCTATATATTTATTATTTGATTTAAATGTTACGTAGAATGTATTCATACAGTTACACAAAATAATATTTTAATAATGTTAGTATATATATATTACCCTTTTAGTCTGATTTGTAGTAAATACGGTTTTTGAATCAACTGGTGGGTTTACCGTGAGTTTTTCGCCTGCAGTTCGAAGATCTTCGACTTCTTTTTTGGTCAAAAAATTGTTTATCACAACGTAACCATCCCTATCAAACTATCAAAAAAAAATTCACAAAAATGAACTTATTATTTCATAGCAAATAGAAATGTAATGTGTCTAAAGTTTTTACTAATTTTTTAAACAGGCATTAATATTGTCTATACATTGATTATTGAGATTAAGTTGCATATACTTATATATTTCTATACCTTCTTTAAGTGAGATGAGTGCGAAAAGATTTATAAGGACGAAAGACAAAAAGGTGGAATTTGAGGTCTTAGCTTAGGGTGACCATATGTCCTGTTTTTTACAGGATTGTCCTTTATTTCAGCATTGTGTCCTGTTATCCTAGCAAACTTCTTTCAGGACACTTTTTGTCCTGTTTTTTTGATCAAAATAAATTAATTTGAAAACGAAACTTACGAAAGTAATGAATAATGATTATAATTATAATCTTGTGATTGTTTGAATTTATCAGTATGAGAAGAATGTCTACGAGTTATCGGAGCTTATCTGAGTTATCGAAATGACCGTTTTGGAAAAATGGGGATATCACTTTGAACCACTAAAAGTTTTTCATTGGATTCAAGTACTAGATTTTCCAATTTGGATTGACATTCAAGAAAGTTTGAAATATATTATTAAGAATAATCCAACATTGAAATTCGATGAAGATGAACTTTTTGATGAATTTAATCATGTGATAAATGTAATGAAGGTTAATTTTCAAAACTGGTAATGGTTTAAAAGCCGAAGATAGGTGGTGTGAAATATTTAAAATTCTAGAAAAAAATTACATCCCAATTAAATATTTGACGGTTATTTTAGAGCATTCAACGGCCATTTCCGGAACTAACACGTCGATAGAAAGAGTATTTTAAATTACAAATGTTTTATGGACAGATGAGAAAAGTCGATTTCTCGTGGACACAATTAGATCGATAATAATCGTAAAACATTTAAAAAAATGTTTCATGTACAGAATTTCATATATTTCTTTTAGAAAATCCATAATTATTAAAACTCATTACTTCTTCAGAAAAATATTAAAAATCAAATAGTGAAAACATGTCTGAACAATCGTCATCAAAATTAATTAATAAGTTTTTTAAAAAAGTACATGCATTTAATCTTATACAGTGTTAATAAAAATTATGTTTCACAATTAAAAATCAATAAAAATATATATATATGTCCTGTATTTTTTTTTTTTTTTTTACATATTGTCACCCTATCTTAGCTTCCATAATTTCTCAGGGGCTAAGACCTCAAATCAAAGTCAATAAATTGTATAGTTACAAAATAGCATAGTATTTCTATTTCTAAACTGTTATGCATAACTTATAAGGCCCTTAAGATTAAAAACTTACAATTAATGTGGTAGCATTTTTAAGTGTACGAATTTTTTTTATGAAGGAGATTTTTTATAGATTTTAAAATACTGGTTGTGTTTATTTTTAAAATCAATATTTGTATCAAATTATTTAAAATGAAAAATATTTGTTTAAAGTCTTTGAGTACATGAGTACTTGTGAGTATTTTATCAGCCCTGTCACACAAAGGAAAAATTCGTCACTGTAAAGTAGACGAACGAAATGGTAAGGCTACCATAAGAAATACCTATCACCGAAAATGTTGATTCATCATAAATTAAAATTAATGTTCTGCAAGTCTTTTTGTTTATTAATATTTTTTGAGTTACACAATAAGCATAAATGTACATCTAAAATTAAAATATTTCTAAATACTTGTATAGTTATTACTAAGTATAAGTATAATTACTTTATATTTTAAATATTCGTAAACCATCTTGCTGCGTTGTTTTGTTCGGGTCACTGATACGCGTACTGGATATAGTAATATACCAATGAATGTATGACCATAAACAGTTAATTATATACGCATACTAACTATAAACTTCATGATTCTTATGGACTTTGTATCGATTGTGTATTTATCATTCAGCAATACAAATTTGACTTTAGATTACATGGCGTAAATATTAGGTAATGATCAAAAATGACAGCTGCTGATCATTCGTAATACCCGTGATCAGTTAACTATTCGAATTCCACACGAACAACCGGTTATGTTTATCTGGTCAAAATATCCCCCTCCCCCTGAGGTTAATTAATCAAATATTTATTTTTTAAAGAAATTCTGAACTAAGTTATTATAAAATGCATTTTTTTATTTTATTTTAAATCATCTGTATTCTGAGACATATACAAGGTTCGGTTACAGAACGAGGAAAACACCTCGCCCTGGCTAATGTTGGCTAGTTTTTTTTTTATTAGTATTATTATTTAGAATTTAAAAAATAATACCATTTATCAATAACTTTAAATAATAATAAATAATAATTAATCTAAGTATTAAGATTTCTTAACATATTTATGACTAATAAGAACTCATTTTAAATAATTCCTCCTATTAATATAATCAACTCTATGTAAAACGACCAATTTTTATCAATGTATTGCTTCCTTTATTTTTTCATATCTAGTCGAAATTATATTGACATTGTAAATCCTTGTTTATGAATTTTTAATTCAAAACCAATCATACTTTACAAATATAATAACACTCCATACTAATCAGTTATTTATTTATTTATTTATAAATATAAAATATTTGTTTATATATTAATATAATAATTCATTTGTATAAAACTTATAGTGATAAAAATAAATACAGTAGAAAATCAATTAAATGCGTCTCAATTATCTGTGTTTATTTTTTCGAAAATTTGTATTTCCAAAAGTAATGATAAAGTCATGTAAGCAGAATATAGTACGTAGGTTAAAGATCATAAATAATATTAATTTAATAAACATTGTTTGGACTATATTATAAATAGATTTATGGTAGTAGTTTATATTCTCCTGAACTTCTGCCAGCAAGACAATTTTGACTTTCATGTCATGAATTCAAGAAAAATTAAAGTGAAGAATATTAATTTCAAACTTCAGAAAAAGACTAATTACTTCAAATATCAAGCCATGATCATTTTAAAATATGAAAATATGTAATAATACAACAAAGTTTGAATAAAATTTAATAAAAAATGTAAATAAAAAAATTGAATTCAAATTTGTAACTTAAATAAAGTCTTGATTAACCATGGTTTTCATTTATCAGTGTGACTCATCCCAATCATTACTCCAGATAATCAAGGTTCTACTGTACATGGAAAACTTTAAAAATAAATATATTTAAGGCTTTAACAAAATAATATTTTTAATTAATCTTCTTGGTGAACAACTCAAATTATAATAAAAACCTATGAAATCAGTCCATATTTTCATAATTATCTTTCTTTTTGCCTCCATTTCCTAAAATACCAAAAATAATTATATAATTATTTAAACCTAAATCAGTTGTAAAAAATTTAATTAAAATGAATATCATTAAATACTAACCAACCACATGACAAACTTCCACATTTGCACCAAACTCCATTAATTTAAATAACCAAGAAGTTTGTCTCTCTGATAATTTATCATTTGGCCCTTTTACTTCAACAAACATACACTAACCATAAAATTATAATAAATATTATTGATTAATTAATAATCATGATAGGACAAAATTATTTTACCCTATGGTTAATAGCATCCCAAACAATAAGATCTGGCATACCATACATATAAACTCGACCATCTTTTAATATTTGGTTACCGATTGCTAGGAACACTTCTATTCCTACACATTCTAGTATTATCTAAAATAATTAAATATATAATAATTAATAATAATTTAATGACAAATAAAAATAAGTATGAAAACAAATCATATAACTTCATCACTTACTTTACATATTGGTAAATTCTCATCATTCATAAACTTCCAATTAATAACTGATTGAGTCTCATAATATTTATCACAACCTGTTTTCAATATATCACAAATCTGATTAACAGTCATTAGTTTTAACTCCGCCATTCGGTCCTAAATTTTTTTCAAAATAAACTAACATTAATTTATTATCTAAAAATACAATTATTAAACTGAAACATTGCATTATTTTTACTTTGATTCTTTGTTCCCTGATATTATAAAAGTGACGTGATCTCCAATCCAAAGGACAGTCTTGATATTGGCTAATGAAAAGTATGTATGAAGGGTAACTATCATATATAATATCCCAAAAACACAATAAAAACATTGATTTTATAAGTTGACCCTCATCATGAATTCCTACAAGAATATACACAATGAAGAATATTATAAATTTATATTATTATATAGATTCTTAGTGTAATAAAGTTGGCAACAGATATTCAGAGTAAATAATAATTAGACAGAAACTGTGTATTATTATACTAATAAAATACAAACATTGGAAATTACATGGAAAGTTTGTACTACCATTGATTATAGAAAAGAAGAGTAAAACAGTATAGTCTATAATCAATGATTACTTTTTACTTAGATAATAATTATAACAATTATTATCACTGAATGTGAATAAATATAAGTAAATAAATAATCACCATTTGAAAATCCTTGACTTTTATAGTGTGACAAAGCAAGATCTTCAACAGACATATAAAGAACATCTCCATTTTTAATTTTCTTGGAATATACTTGTTTGCGACCAGATGAATTTCTAAATCACAATATTATTAAATAAATTAATACATATAAAATATAATGCATTATTCATAATCATTATATTAATAACAAAGTTATAGGGTTACGATTACCTAACATTCTATATAAAAGTATTTTTTCGATTCAAATAATTTTTTTTTTTATATATATATTTTTAATATTTTATATTTTTTATAAAATTGTTTACATAGTATAATAATTTTAAATGTAAATACAAATAATATAAACTATCTCAAAAAATATGAATTGCTTAGTAAAAAATAAAATTCTGTGTATTTTAAGTGTATAAGTACATAAGCCGTATTCATAAATATTTTCAAATGCACAAATGAATTATTATTCAAAAATCTATTTTTAATCTATAAAAAAATATTTTTTATAATATGTACAAACAATAGGCTAAGTGAATGACTATTCGTACTTATTAATTTAATGATAAATAAATTTTACTATACTTTTCTGTAGTAGATATAATTTTGCCATTTATTGTTGTATTAGGCAGTTGTTTTTTTGTATTTGAAATAAATGTCAGTAACTCTTCTTTTAGATTATCATCCAATTTCCTGATTTTACGATTCACATAAATCATTGCTCTACTTGACAACATTTGATGACCTAATTCACTAATTGTTTTATCCTTTAGGCCATCTAGTATAACTGTTGCAGCCTATATATTGATTTGAATACTAAGTTTTATGTATATTTTTTGAAATATTTTATTATTTAATACTTAATAAGTTGTATTGTTCCATAAATCAAAAATTAAATGTGGTCATGGTACTTTTAATAAATAATTTTGGAAATTTCCCAAATAATATTATCCAAAATTCATTTTCTATGTAGTTTATTTATTTATTTATTTTAAGTTATTTTATTATACTTACATTATTTAATTGTTTGAATTGGGATTCAAACACTTTTGCTAATTCAATATGTAAATCAGGTATTTTAGACATTGAAAATTCCTTATGTTTTAATAAATATTCCAATACTTCTTTTGCTAAATTTTTATTAGCAGTAGATTTTTTTAATATAGATATATTTTTAAACAAAACATGGGCATATACTGATACTGCAGAGTATTTTCGTAAATAGGTAGGTAATTCTAAAAATGAATCCCTAATTTGTATAAAGAATAAAACATGTAAATAAGTAATCATAATGAATATAATTAAGTTAGTTTAAAATGTTTACCTTATGCATTTATCATGTACAGCAGACTTAAATTTTTCAAATACAACCTTTAAAACTTTAATGGCATTTTCATGGTCTTTTTTTTCTAGAGATAACTGTACTTCTTGACGAAGATTTAAAGCATTTTTGTACCTAAAATAAAAATTATAGACAATACCATTAATACATAAATATTTAGGTATTTATTTATTTGGTCATTTATTTTATACATTTGATAAATTTATAACCAGAATATAAAATTGTATTAGTGCATTTAAACTCTTTGAAGAGCTATAAAATATTACACTTTATAATATTGCCAATGTGTTCATAAAATAAAACTTTTCATGAAATTACATCAAATGATTAATTTGACATAAATTAGTAGGAGAACTGTTGGGAATAAAGCTAGAAATTTGTTAAAAATAATTTTTTAATTCTATGCAATTGCATCTTACACAATTGTAACTATACAAGAAAAACTAATAAACATTGTAATACAAATAAAAATTTATGAAATTTGAATATCAACACTTCTCTTTATAAGCAATCAATAGTTAAGTATTAAATGAATAATTCAATATTACAATTAAAATATGTTATAAATAACGTTTTTCATTTTCTAATATTTTAACATTTTTCTAATTTTATTTCATATAATGATATTCTTTGTAGCTTAATCAGATATTTAACACTGGTTTATTCATCAAATAAAAGATAATTATTAATCAAAGAGTTAACAATTATTTATGTTATGACTTACATTTCTAAACTATCTTTTGAATTGAAATTAATTGAAACTCGTTTCACATTGAAAGTGGGAAATTTGAGTTCTTTTTTTTCAACCATAGAAAATTTGGTAAAACAATCACGAAATCTATCTTTTTCATCTCCGTTAAAATATGGGTATGATTCATATATTAGGCAGCTCATTATATCATCTCTTATTGAATCTGATAATTTTAGGCAATATCCTAAAATTTTTTTAATGCTAAAATAAAAAAATTCATTATTTAAAATAAATATATTAGTAATTCAAAATGTATGCAAAAAAACATATGTAATAAACAAACCATTCTTTCAAATTGGTGGACGAATTTCCCCTGATTGTTCTTTGCTTATTTACAAGGTTCATAAATGATTTAATCATTTCAGGTTTAGTCTGACTTTTATTGGAAGCTGAGTTAATTTTGAATGTTTTTTGCAATTTTTTAAGTTCGTGGGCTTTTAAAATATTTAGTAGACAGTCAAGCTCACAAGAATAAACATCTAAAAGAAAATACACAATAAACAAAAATCAAATTTAATAATATGTATTTAAATATTATAATATATATACCTGTATTTATTAATTGTTTTGTTGCTAATGACATTAAGACACTATCAAAATCATGACATAAATTTAATTCTTTATATTTTTTAAGGCCATCAGGCTCATCTGCACGAATCCATCCATGTTTTCTAGCTATCAGTCTTCCAAAAATTTTAAGTTCATCATCAGTACAACTATCAATAATAGTCATTATACCATCTTCACAAAGAAAAAAAATTTCTGCTTTTAGAACAATATATTTAATAAATCTACTATACGTATCACCACCAGTAATTGTAACTTTATTTTGTAATAAATCAATAATTCTTGGACTTTTCGTAGGAGTATTCATAATATGATTTATTTTTCCATTTTTAGTTGGAGTGACTTGTGAAGGAAAATGTAACTGTTTAGTAACTTGTTCTATAGAAAGTTGACTCTTAACATCTGTTATTTTTGAATTTTTTTTTTTTCTGTTTTGAGTATGAGGGCTTAGAGCAGTTGTTGGTGATTTAATATGATTTTCTTTAGAAAAATCCACGTTATTTGTTAAAAATTCAGATTTTACAGTACTTTCAATATTAATCTTAATTTTTTCTTCATTTGATCTTTGTTCAGTAGCAGATTTAAAATAATCATCAATTTTGTTTGTTAGTGGCAATGTTATTTTCTGAATAGGTTGAAAATAATATGTTATTGGCTTACAATTTTCACTACCAATTGATTTGAATTTTTTAGATGGAGTAGAATTATTTGAACTATTTCTTTTTCTAGAAGATGATTTAATAGAAATTTTAGTTTCTTCATCTATATTAAAGCGATTAGGACGATTTTTAATACTCGGTGATACCAATATTTTATTATTTTTCTTAAAATCAGAATGTTCCATTTTAATTGGTGTTATCTGTTCGGGTTTTATTAATTCATTCTCACAAGGTAATATGGCTTGTTGACTTAGTGGTGAAAACTCTAGGTTTTTGTTAAAAGGTGAGCGGCTATGAGAATCATCAAATAACAAAGTCCGAGATACAGAATTAATTTCTCCACTAGTTTTCCTCTTTATCCTACTTCTTTTCGGTGTGAATGGCGAAGTTGAATCCATATTTTCTGGGAAAGAATAATAGAAATCCGCATAACAAAGCATAAGATACCCTATAGTTAACTATATACTTACACAATAATAAAAACAAACAATACCTTTAGCAACAGCTACTTCAGATAACTAAATAATTATTACACTTTGAAATCGTAAATGCTTAATTTCAGACTTCTTTCATAGTAACAAAACTGTTTCAAACATTTTTAACTTTAATTAGTTGATAAGAGTTTCCAAAATTCACATCACCTTATCACATTTGGAAAACACAATAAATTCATGAATTTATTTATTTATTCTATGACTTAGAGTCATAGACATATTATGATATATTATCATATTATATTATTATCATAATATGTCTATGCTTAGAGTATAGACTATAGTGTGATGACTGATCTATGTAAATAAATTCACCACCGGGCGCAAACCATTTTACTAGAAAATAATTATTGTACGATACCATTCGAATATTTTGATATTTGAACCAATATGGCGGTTAGAAATTGATTCAATACTGTTCATTCGATACCAGTATATTCTTATCAATATAAGTAACGAAACCATGCTACCGAATACAAAAAGTACTTGTATCGAAAGAAAAGTATCGATACTTTATTGGAATCGGTAGTATTGCAACATTCATAATCACGTGGTCTCTTCGTAAATTATTGTCTTTTTGTGGACGCCAATGGTATGAGCATGTTGCTGTGATGTTTCAATCATTGTGTTTCCTCGTCAACCAACATTGTTTCATAGCGGCCCATCAATAGGTCAGTGACTAAGTGCACCTTTTGGCCAGAAGAAGAGGAACAAGACCGAAACGTCATACATGGTATGCCAGAACTTGCGTTCTCTTCCCTCTATATCCGATTTTATAAATTTTTTCACTTCTTCAACGACTAAAATGTCAAATCTTCAGCATAATGACAACTTGAGATAATTTATGCAAATATTAAATTATATCTTCTATTTAAAATAAGAAAATAAATATATATATTTGTTACACAATACAAGGTAAAAAATAAAATTAAATAATTTTATATCCTCCTTGAAACATGTAAAGCAATTATTGATCAATATTATTTTTCAGAAATGCTCCTGTGCAGAGTGTCCTTGATGCAGTAATATAGCATTTGGCAAGTAGTGGTGTATTAAGTAACCAGGTTGATCCAGCAGTAGCTATTATATTGAATTAAAATATTATTATTTGATTATTAAATGAGGATAATAATACAAAGATTATAAATTAATTTAAAATTTTTAAATTTGATTTATAAATAGTTAGATATAAAGCATTAATTTAAATATTTTATTAGATTTTTAAAATATTTTAAGTAAATTACATAACTATCATAATTATACCATTTAAAATGAAAACATAAAAATTTAAAGGGGTTTCCCAGCTCCTGGAGGAATATTCATTTAGGAAGATGAAAAAAAAATAATTTAATAAAAATTTGAAACAAAATTAGATTGATTAATTTGAATTAAATAATATTTTATAATGATGAACACAATTTATTAAAAGTTAAACTTATAAGTTAATTTCAATCATATGATTAAAAAATTTTAAGATATTTTATGTAAATTAGAGGAATTTGATTTTATACCATAAAA